ACTATCACTAGAAGCTGGTTTTCTTTTTCAAAAAGAAAAAGCTCCCTTCGCTATGTGTGACCTTCACGATATTGTGATACAGGCGAGCGTCATTCCAGCTTAAAAGTAAAAGTACTGTGTATCTGTAGCGCAGATCTTCTGTTAACAAAGCTTAGCTTCAAGAGCTGTTCATCTCACTGAGCTCAGTATGTAAACAAGAGAATTTTTTACTTTAGGGCAACAAAAGATGTGTAAACCCCCGACAAGAGACTTTGAACCCTAGTTATTTGCAGCAAAGAGGTTTCTCTTGAGCAAAAACCCGGGGAGAGAAATAAGAGTCGCTACTTCACTCGAATGTTTCGGAATCTGTTGTGATTTATCGGCTATTAGTGTTATTAGGCTTGTGAATAATTTCCGTTGTGGTTTTGCTCTCCAAATCGGAAAAATCACGGAAGCTTCTTGAAAACTCAATTTTTTCGTGCTTACTCAATGACGGGCTGCATCCGGCGGCCACTTTGGCGGCATTAAGATGTCTCCAAGGTCCTAAGAAGGATAAAAATATTCGGTAAAATTTTCGAAGATTCTATTTTATGTAGGCCGAGTAAAAACTGACTTAGAAAGCAAAATTATTTTACAAAACTGATTTTTTCATTTTTCAAAACCAGTTTCAAATATTAAGAAAATGCTAAGGTGGAAAAATCCTCCTATTAAACGCTTGTATTTTCATGTTTATGCCAATGAATGACTTTCGTTTGCTATGACTACCTCGCAAACAGGAATGATATCCACGAAAGTCCATAATGGAGGAAAATGGGCTTCCAAACCCCATTTTATTCGTTCGCGGTAGAAACTGGTCGGAATCTACTTTCGCTAGCGTTATCTAAGAATTTTCATCTCATCGCAACCACGAGGCAAAGCGGTGTGATGAAAATGATTCAACCCTACTTGAGCTCTCGCTTGCGAAAGAATCATGCGAAAAGTCCATTTAGAATGGGGCAAAATGGGATTTACCTCCATTTTAAATGGACTGAAAGCCCATTTTACTCCCAGCAGCAAGGTGAGCTGGGACTAAGCCCATATTTGATCTTTTTGCATATTTTTGATGGCGATTTTTTGAGAATGTGTTCCTCAGCTCATTCTAAGGTAACAAGTGAGTGGAAAAAGTTTCCTGTCTTTTATAAGGTCTTGAATAAGTGTTTCTTTCTAAACTCATATAAACGCTATGAAAATCATGGAAGAAGGTTAAATTCACCAAAATAAACGCTGACAAACTCAATTGCTTCCAAATATCAGATCGATGCGAAAATTCCTATGTAAATCAAATAAAGTTTGTTAACTCTTCAAATCATCAAGCAAAACTAAATTCATGATCTGTATTCAAAAAAAAGATTTGCAATACAATTACTCAGAAGCTATCTTTTGACTATTCTCGTAGGACCGAACCTCAAAGACGGCATTTCAAACGCAATTTTGAGATTGGTCGTAAGAATCACTGAAATGCCGCTAGCTAGCAAGAAAAATTTTGTGAAAAATTTCTACTAGCATTAGTCCATACATTTAACTACTTAGAGATATAAACATTAATGCTGAAAGACAAAGAAGAGCTGAAGTAGAACATTTGCGAAGTCATCCTTTGCGACTCGTAGTTTTCCGGTTTGAAGAATCCTTTGAGTTGCAGGGCAAGGTTTCCTACGAGATAAGCATTTTGCTTCACAGATTGCAGTGCAAGTCTAGCCAAAGTTTGCTTTCCCCAGAAAGCCCTACATACGAATTTGACTTAAAGCAGATCCATAGAAGTCTTGAGAAGCGAAGGCCCGGATATTATGTGAATTTATTCTTGAAGATGTTTTCGATGCATGGTTATCGATAACAAATGGCATTCTTTGATGTATAATAAAGTGTGAAAGCATAGAATATTCATGTGACTGTCATCGTAATGTTAGGTCAGCCCTAATTAGATACCGACCACTTGGTAGAAATGAGTTTGCAAGAGTGAGTAAACAGGTTGAGGCAAGTTGGAGAAAGGTTTGCTGAAGAAGTTTTGTATGGAATGAATGGCTTCGCGAATGCGATATCTTATCGCACCGCATGGACTAAGTCCATTTTATTCGCACAAAAAGCCCATTTCGCGGGGACTTTCGTGGATATTATTCCAGGTTATCAAATTCCTTCAAACATTATCTTTCGGCAATAACGTGGATCATTCCTTGGTTCAAGAGTTCGAACGCATCGTTTTCACTTTTTTATTGACGCAGCTGCTATTCTTCACGTTATTTGATCTCATTCTACAAGGTGTGTCGTTTGTTTCACACGAATGCTTGCAAAAAAATTTTTTGAGATCACTCAGTCACGTTTGTCCTTTTTCGGATAGATTTTCATGCTTGGAAAATAGCACAAGAGGAATAAGTTGTGTCGTTGGATTTATCTCCAATAATTATTAGTCCTCTGATTTGTTTTCCAGATAATACTCTGTGGCCACGTTATAGAGGTCGTATTTTTCTAATCTGATGACCTCCGAGTCTTCTTCCAGTCCATTTACTTCCCTGTGTCAAAAAAGCCCTCATTGAATCAAATGAAATGGTTTAAAAAAGCACAGTATACGCTCCTCCCCCATGAATGGGAAGTTTACTTTAAACGATAAAAATATAGAAACTTCTCGAAGCTTTCTATACTCAGAATACATCGTTACTAGCATACAGTACTTTGAATTCCAAATCATCCTAAAAAAAAATTCTTTGGAAAGATGTGGCTAATGAATTTGGCATTAATGCTATGCCTCACATAAGAGACATTTGTTGTGCTCCACTACTCGCACATTCAAAAAAAATTATAAGAGGACCCCTATTATAAGCGTTTGTTATAACACTAGTTATTCAGAGTACTTAGATATAAATAAATAGCGCTATAATGCTTATAACAATGGCCTTCTCAAAAAAGTTAAAAGTCCCTCATCTAAATATAACACTATCAAATTTTTGAAACAAATCCAACATGGTTTGGCAGCCCTTTTCGATGTATGAATGGGACTCTGTTGTGATAATTGATTCGTAAATGTATGTCCTTTCTACAAATCTATACAGTCAGCTGTCATTTTATCAAACCAAATGATTCGTAACGCAATAGTTGTGACGTGATGCATAGGTGGTCTGTACCTTGAAGAAATGAAGTTTTTGATGAGTACATCTCTGTCAATTTCACCAGCAAAAGCAACGTCGTTCGAAAATACCTTTCTAGTACTACTTGCATTCCACACTTCTAGTGCTCAAGATAAATTACTGCATTAGAAACCTTATTTTCGTGAATGCACTTTCGATGATAAGTGTAACTCTGTGTTTTTCGAATGTCAGAGATTTCTCAGAATTTAGCAAAATAAAAAAATTGACAGCTTTTTTAAAGGAAAACTAGTTTGCCATAAAAAATATTATATTCGCACTTTGAGGTGAATGATCCGTCTTATTGTTAGTCAGATCCCTTGCAACAGAGACGTGCTCGAGAGAACTAGTCACGCTGAACTGTTCATCATTATGACATCATCTTTATAAAAATCCAAAAGCAAAAGATCAAATCAGCCATAAAGAACTGCTAGGTTTGAAAACGTCAGTTGTTTCTCCCCTTAGGTTTTTCTTGATGCCCCCGTTCTGTGCTTGCACCTATGAGTAAGAAACTGCTCAATCAAGAATATTTCCATTCATGACAAATTTCGCAAATTTTGTTTAGTGAAGAGTAGATAAAACCATCAAACCATCGGCGCTATATATTTGATCGCTTGGCTGCTCCCGTTCCAAAGCGTGAAAAACCGAAGAAAAGGCACTGAATAACAGATGCGGCAGCATGACATGAAATTTTTGCCTTCTGACGAATTGCATTTTGGGTGAAACGACGTGCGCACAGAACACTGAGCTTGTTTATAGCAAGGTCTCAATTTTTCACACCCGAATATAGCTGTCATCCTTCTTTTCCACTGTTACCGTTTCGACCTTCTAAATATTAATTAGATAGACAGACTAGTTGCAGACCTGTAGATGGCACAAAATTCGCTTCCAGCTTCTCAATGTTGGGAATCAATCAATGGGTATTCTTTTTGTAGGCAGACGCCACGATCTATCAAGTGATTACTCTATGGCTAGTTATCATTCTTGTTGTATGAGAACATATAGGTTGTTATAAGCAAATTTTAGGTTTAAGGTATCTTATCTTATAGAAATCAACCTAAGAAAATTTGAAATTTGTTTAGCCAATCTTGAGAAAAGTTCAACTCTGTATTATTCAAAAAACATGTATACACTAACCATCTACTATTTGTTTCGTTTTGCTGTAGAAATTGACTAGTGTAAGACAATTCACCCGAACTTCCGCAAAATAAGCACAATTTGCAGCGGTTACGCAGGATTTTGTTTACCATTGCAAAAGTGGAAACGTTGAAATGGGAACACCCACAGGACTTTTTATAAAGCGCTGTGGAACTTCCGAAAAACGCCAGCTGCCTCAGCACTTGGCCAGTACTTCCGCAGGGCTTGAAGGTGTTGTCTCTTACGACGCTGTCTCGCCAACAGCTATATTGCACTATCGAACATGTCATCCGTAGTGGAAAGGATAGTGAGTGAGTCTCACAGTCAGTATGGCAAGGTTCGAATTTCGTTTAGGTGTTCGCTTTTGCTGTGGTGGTTCGATTCCTAGGAACTTCCGCAGCACCCCTGGGAACTTCCGCATGATCCGGCGGAACCTCCTAAACGTTCCTCCTAAAGTCCCGGTCAATTGTCTGAGAAAAAATGAGAATTGCAAATTTGTCTCGCTTCGTTCTGATATGGAGCTTAAGGAAATAAATACCAAAATTTTGAAACCCATTTTACACCGCAGTGGCTCAGATATAGGGAAGTCCAGGTCGTAAATACTCTATAATTTCTCAGCCTAACTGCGTCAGCCAGAACTCAGACATCTGGAAAAGAAGTGCTAGAAGTTAACTGCAATCGAAACTCATTTACAACAGAACAGAAAACCAGCAGCTGTTGCGTGAAAATCACATGCGGAACGGGATCGACAGGGGATTTATCACGATATTCCAGAGGTGCGACTCGCCAATCCAGACGACATAAACACGATTTGTTCATTTTATATGCTTTTTCATTTCGTTTGACACCACATGTAGGAATTGAACCCAGTTTGATTTTCCATCACTTGGATTAGTGCTGTGCCACAGATAGTATAGTCAATCTGATCAATTTCACATTAGATCGGTTTTCCTGCGGTGTCGACAACACTTGCGCGTAAAAAACTGCCATAGATCTCAAAACCTTAGAAAAAAAATGCGCAATAACTATTTTCTTACAGGCAAGTCTTCTCGGTAACGTAGGGAAACCAAATTATTTGTTTGTCGTTTAGACTATTTCAATCAAAATGTCTTTTTTCAACTTCGTAAAAAATATTTTCAACCCAATAAAACCTCTTCTTACACTCACAGGAGAGTTTAGCAATTACCCCATGATCACGGCGTGACCACTCTCTTAGGAATGATAAGTGCCCGGTCATGTTACCCAATGTGACCCAGACCCCTGAATAAACAATCTGCTGTCATTGTCAACAATTTCTATATACAATGCCGCTATTGCGTTTATCACCAACGAACAGCCTCTCTGTAGCTGCTTTGGCAAACTCAAATAATTTTTTTAGTTACTGCGAATGACTAGTCAATAAATTTTTGTATATGAGTCAAATTTCCATCATCATACTCAAAAAGAAAAAGAGTGACATTTTCCAAAAATGAAGAAACAAGAGCTGATGCACGCTGACAAATGTTTGCCACGTCAAGAAGACTTTTATGTGGACATTTTTTTGCTATAAAAAAAGAAGAGAAGACCGGCTGTCTGATTATCTTTCGGGACTATTAGATACCACTCAGACCATGTCACATGTGATAAGGAACACGCGCATGTTGATTTGTATCTCCGGTTCTCGACTGGAACAACAAACAATCTAATGATGAGATTGATTTTTGTCTGTCTTAGTGGTGTTTCGCTTCACTTCACATTTTGTCATCAATCGCAAAATTACTGCAGATTCTGGTCCTGCTAATTCATAGGCAACTGCTGTGCAGACATTTTCTTTTTTTCCGTTTCTGCTGTCTTTAATCGTTTTTGTCTGATGAACAGTTTTCTGCGAAGTGATGACTAATTAACCTGTTTTGCTTGCTGCTTCTAATAATTGGGACGCCCACATCCTTCCAAATTTTCTTGCTTCCGCATGCATTTGCTTCTTGTTCAACCCTCCCCCCCCCCCTCCTCCCTCTCCTCTCACTGCCAGCACTGATTTTAAGACCATGCCCAATACAGAAGATTAGCTTATCTTGGCATTGTTATTCCTATCGTTTTTCAGAAAAATTTTATTTTTTAACTCCCAAAGTTCGGGTGCTTTATCGAAGCGAAGAGGATTGCGGAAGTTTTCAGGTACATATCCACTGAGCAGTTGTTCTCGATGACCTTTGTGCGACACATTTTTTCTTTCTGCTTTGTTAACAGTTTCTACCGGTTTGCGTTGGGTTTTAGAAGAATATGCTAGTTCCTGCTCTCTCTCCCAACAAACTTATATCAATAAGCTTGAAAAAATGTTCTAAAGGAATCAAACTTGGATGTTCTACTGTTTTCCTTCATAGCTATGCACCAAGATTCATTGATTTTTTTGCAATTGTAAGAATTTTCCCTTTTATTCCTTTGTTCCTTCCTTTTTTTCATTGTGCATAGCTGGGAAAAAATCAGTCAATGTTTTAATTATCAAGAATTACATAACGGTGATTTTATGACTTCCGTCAGAATCGTTCCGCGAACAATGATGAGACTTGTTCAGCGTTTCAAGACGCACTCTGTAGTCGTCTTCTTCCCTCATAAGAAATTCCAACTCATCGATAACCAGAATTCTATTAGCTAGTTTGTAATTTTTTTGTTCTTTCATAGTTCTCCATCGATCGTCTTCTGTCTGACGTTTTACAACCATCCCGTACTGTTAAAATGTCATTTCCTTGTCCGCAGATTTCACTTCAGGGGCAAAGCTGTGCTAACGCCGAACCAGTTGGACAGCTTCAGAATCGCTAAATTATTCAATTCGATCGACACGGCTACCACTGTACAAATGGAAACCGGTTAGTTGCTATCGAGTTACTCATACTAACACCTTGTTGTTCATCCATTACCGGTATGTTGCGAAGTTTTTGTCTGGTACTAAACTTGTAACACTTTTATTCTCGGCTTGAACTTTATGGCGTAGAAAAACTTGTGTTTTTCTCTCATTTGATGCCTCGTTTGCATTTGATATATGAATCTAATTATAAGGAGAGCTATGAAATAGCTATGAATATTCATTCCTCACTACCACGTCTCTTAAATGCAAAATATAGAGGAAATGTGAAATGTTCCCTTGGTGTTCTAACTTCCTCTGAGCCATTAGATCATGACACTATGTGCTTTAGCTTTCAGTGGCTTCAACACATTATTTTTACTCAGGAATCCGTCATCTCCATCTTTCAAGGAATTACCAAAATGTTCAAGTTTAACAAAATAAAAAACGATATTCCACATCCATTGCGTCACTCCCTCACAGCAATGACGTGGCAAACGGGGGCAGTTTGGAAAATAATTAGAAATCCCTTATATAGATTTCCTTAATCAAATTGGAGATTAGGTTGAAGAAAAATGTTGTCACAAGCTCTTATGAAATAGTGACGACGGATTTTACTGCGGACCTTGTGCCCACAGGAGCATAAAAGACTCATACACGAAGGCATTACCTCAAGTTCAGCTCAGTCACTTCCAATGTCTAAATATTATCATACATAGGCAGAAAAACCATTCGACCATATATGAAAACCAAGAAAATGCGATTTCCGGAGGTGGCGTGCGTGTCGCACGCGGTCGCGCCGTCGTCACGAATTTTCAAATGCCCTATACATTTCTGCGTATTGCACTCGGAATCTTTTTTGGAAGCCCATGCAGAATTCGATTGAAGATAGCATTCGCCACACTCGTTAAGGTAATATTCTGTTCCTAGAAAAACATTGTGTCGCACACAAATCGAGTTTCTGGTAGAATACTGCAAATCCATGACGTATAGCAAATTGTGCCATTACTCACTAGTCGAAAATATCAGAAGCAATGACTTTTTCCTTCAATGACAAAGTAACGACTGGACTTTCCTCATCAAAACTTGGTGTAAAATAATTTTTGCGCATTACTCGTGAACGCGTTACCCCGTCACTGTGTATAAGTTTACGGTAGCCGAGCGATAGTGTGAATGCGGACAGGCTCGTCGTCGTTGCACTTCCTCGTCCAACTTGTGTAGTGACGTGTATTGGCGGCGAATTGTTCATTTCACGGTTTTCCTACGTCTTCGGCTTTGCGCATATTTCAGTTTTGGTTTGCACACAAGCTCTTGTGTTTATACTTTCCCACTTTATGTACCTAGGTCGTAGCTTGTCGATAAAAACTTTTTTTTTATTGACAGTTGAGAGAAGAACCAATTCCTGTCAGCTTATACGTCGAGATAGCAAGTCTCATGGTAATCGGCTCTATCAATCACCTCATTGGTGTGGTTTTACTTCTGCAATGCTTAACTGATAGTTCTTTCCTTTTAGTGCAGTTCTCTCTCTGATTATTTTGTATCTCTTTAACTTCTTCCTCTCCTAACCAACCATTGATTGACTTGTAGAAAGTTTCTGCCAGTTTTATCTTTCAATTGGAGTTTCGTATGATCCGTAAGTTTCAGTCACCGAAATGGTAACAAAAACGAAGAAAAAGAGCACTCCACGAAAATCGGCTGTATCTCCCACCAAAGAGAAGAAAGTAGATTTTAATGGAGCAGGTTTGAAAACAAGCACTAGCAAGTTCGTGTTCGTAAATTTTTCGCGGCTGGAGAACAAGCTTACATTTTCCTCTCCTTCAGTGGCCATTTCAAAAATGGTGGACTCAGGCCGTCACCATCCACAAACACATTAAATCGACTTGCACGAGAGAAGATTGTATTATGGAAGCAACCATTAACGACTACCTATTATGCTTTTATGGAAGTGCTCAATCTAACTTATGAGTTTATCACGGGGTAAGAATTTTTCTTTGCTCGATTGCATTGCCTTATATTTTCCACCTTAATGATTTTCGTTTAAATTTCAGGATGCTTCAACAAAAAACTTTGTTGCTAGCGATATCTATATTTAGTGCGCTTATTTATTATGCATATATAACTCCTGGTCCACATCAAGACTATATCGCCGTCATAGAAAAGAAATTTGCATGGTGAGTTACTAAATCGCGTTTTTAATATTCACTACATATTTCTATGTGCTTTATCGATTCTTAATCAATATCTTATTCATATATCTGAATGAGGAAATTGTTTTGTTTAACTCTCGAGTCAAAAATCCTTCTATTTGAAAGAATTCGCAAGCTAAGATTTTGCTCAGCTTTTGTATTTTTTCTCGGTCACATGAAAGTCTGCTGCACTTCCACATTTAGTTAGAGGAAGTATGATTGTCCCAAATGAGTTCCTCGGCTTTGTAAATCGCAAAATGGGTATTGATTGTGTTTGGTGCATGGCATGAAGTTCGTTGCGTTCCCTTCAAATTAGTGTCAGGGAAGATGCCTTTTGCAATGGGGACGAACGAACTTTACTCCTTTTTAATGCTAAAAAGGTAAGAGGACTCAGGTGATAGGTGTGTATCATGACAGTTCGGTTGCTTTAGCAAGTAGACTGTGAAATCAGCTTAATTGACTTATGAATCGATAAAATGGGTTTCTGATCGCGACTTCCCGTCAACGAGTGATATGAACACCTGCACTGTAGAGGGGCCATGCTGTCCGTGTGTTGCACTAGAACGCGCATAGTAGGTACTTACAAGGGATCACAATAGACTGGCTGACTGGTTACTTGAACTCGGTACTGTCATCGAAATTTAGCGTGCTCTAAGATCGAAGATTGGAAAATTTTTTGTTTTTCTCGCTGCCTTCTTCTAATATTTTTTTTCAAATCTTGCTGTGATTAACATAATTTTGACTTCACTATCAAAACAGATTTATGACATTCAAGCATATAAGCTTTACTGGGGCAAGCCTTCATGTCGCTTTTACTCAGGAAACCTCCATTTTCGATTTGTATTATGACGTAGCACTATTACTTTTAACTTCGAACTGTTTTGCATATTTTAATCTTGCCAAAATTCTGCAGCTTGCGAGCGTTATGTTTTAACAACGCTTTAATTGCTGTGATTTGAAATTTTGTAGGACTGTAAAGAAGTATTTACTTAAAGTTTTTGTTGCAGGTGGGGTTGGTGGGTTTTCTTGGGTGTTCTATCATCTATTGGATTAGGATCAGGACTTCATACTTTCCTTATTTATCTGGTGAGTGCTGAATCTGCTGACTTCATCATTATTGACGGAAAACATGCTGTCATGACTTGATTTAGGGCCCTCATATTGCCGCTGTAACGATGGCAGCTCATGTCTGTCATAGTTTGGACTTTCCTGAGCCTCCTTACCCAGAGAGGTATGCATTACTGTTATATATGATTTGAGGGTTGCAATTCTCACTTGATTTGATTGCCGCGGATCATCAAAATTGCACTCTACTTCGACTAGTGTTATTTGTGTGCGGTAAGGCATAAAGGCGGATGCAAAAGTAGTCTGTCACTTGCTTTGCTCTTTACATTCGCATAAAAATCATCTGGATCTGGAATTGTTATGACTTTTGGTATTTTGGTAGAGTATATCATGTTACTAAACTCTGTAGTTCTCAGCAGCTGTTGCCTTTTTCTGCTGCAAGAAATTGTTTAAGCAAGAGAATTTCGTTAAGACATGATCCTTTTGCTCAATGCCAACTGTGTTAACTGTCAAACTTACAACGATATCAAGCTCAACCTACTACAGCTAACTGTTTGATTTCGGAAATCTCGATGTGTCAGTGTGGAAATTCCAAGAAAGCTTCTCTGTAAATTCACCTCTTGAGCGCATGAAATGGAAAATAAAATACATAATAAAAACAAAAAAGTAAAAACTGCTAGTATTTCTCAGAGCGCAAAGTTTACTGAGGTTTATTTATATTCAACGAATCGTAGAAGATCCTAGATCTATGAGATGATTTTCAGCGTTCTTGTAATGAGTGCTTTCTATCTGTACTTATGTTTTGTAGGTACAAGTCTCACTACAGGGTTCTGAACCTAGATCGATTTGAAATTGATTCATTTCGTTTTCACCTATTTTTTCAGAATCGTTTGTCCTGATGCAAAACCTGATCCGGCTTCTTCTCTTGCGATCACTCTCTGGCAGATTGTTTCAAAGGTCGGTTGTTTTTACCTTGAAGAACTTAGTTGGAGAATCATTGTCTTTTTTTGAATGTTTACTATATATCGCAGCCTACTCTTTTCTCGCTTAGATTGCTTTAGCCAATTTTTTTCAAATTAGCTTGCCCATTACCATATACTTAAACTCAGAACAACACCAAAGTCTTGCTCGCTTGAAAAAGCGCATTAGCTACACGTCGTCACTTCTCCTTTACTTTTACTGATTCACTTCTCTTTTACTTCTTTATTACTCTATTATAAGGATTCATTTATAGGTACGAGTGGAATCGCTTTTGTGGGGCGCTGGCACAGCCCTCGGAGAACTTCCTCCATATTTCATGGCTAGAGCAGCGCGGTTAAGCGGAGAAGAACCGGATGATGAAGAATACAAGGAGTTCTTGCAGTTGATGCGTTCTGAGAAAGGCGCACCTGATGAACTGGTGATTGCTACAGTATAGCTTTTCTCGTTTATTGAATTCATTGTTCTTTTAGTCTTGGACCGATCGTGGAAAAGCTTGGGTAGAACGCTTTATCTCACGAGTTGGCTTTCCAGGAATTCTATTGTTTGCATCCATACCAAATCCACTCTTCGATCTAGCTGGTGGGTTTTTTTCTTCTACGGTCTACCAGTTGGAGAGTTTTCACATATATTCACATTCTTGTAAATTGGCTAGCATTCTACAGCGAACCGTTTCATAGTGCTAGGTTAACATTTCCAGCTTCAAGTTTCTTACTCATATTTCAAATCAGGCAGACATCAAAGGCAAGTTGGAATGTGCTTTCTCTGCCATGAACTTAAATGCAAAAGTGTTTCAATCAGATTTTATCAGATCCTGACCCTACGTTTTACATGTACTACTTTTATAAGTAAGCATTCAAAATGCATGCAAATTACACATATAGTTAGCTCGAAACTGACTTACCCGACAAGATCAGCTTATCATGCTGTGATCATACACGTGGAAGCTCGAAACGTGAAAGCTCGAACCCTTCTCATTTTCATATTCAGGAATAACATGTGGGCATTTCCTCGTACCATTCTGGTCATTCTTTGGAGCGACGCTCATTGGAAAAGCAATTGTCAAAATGCATATGCAGGTTTGTTGGTCTTTGTTTATGGGAACATCCATTCGAGCTTAACATTTTCCTGAAACCGCATACTTTGTCATGCACTAGGAGACAATTTTCAGTGTTTAGGATTAGATGAAAACATTATTCTAACAATAAGTGCATTTAAAGGTAATCTAGCCAAGTCCCTATGTCTCGCCGTTTTTCATCCCCGCGGATTACTACATCGTGAGCCTGACAAGCTCTCCGTTGTTCAAGAGTGCAAAATTTGTGTGCGCATGAGCCCTTGAGATTTCTCAGATAGCTTTTATAAGAGCCCTCAGTGGCGCTTTTTCGTATGATGCATTGGGCGCGAACACGAAAAGCCCTTCCGTTTACTTTGTCGGCATTACTGGCGTTATTAGTGTGCGAATGTTGCCGCCCCAATAATTCGTTTGCGCCTGCAAATTTTCGATGGCGCGGCGCGATTACCTATGGCGGATACTCCCATAAGTATGCGCCATCGCATCTGAGCGTGGAGAAGCATGAAAGTAACACGAAGTGATTGACAGTTTTCAAACGTGTTAGGCTTTCAGTCTCAGATTTTTTTTTTGTATCTGACTAGAAAGGAATTATAGGTTTTGCTGCCATATTCCATCTTTGAAATTTATTGCTGTAGTGAGTTCTTTTCAATACTGCGCCAAAATGCTTCTTGCTCAGTTTCTCTTCTTAGGTTTATGAAGATTAGAGCATTGATATTTTTTTGCTAGTGAGGAAACATACACAATTGAAAGGACGTCTTCTCAGATCCTCATTCTTCATGTCAAAAAAAAAGGCATTTCAGAAACTTATCCGGGAGTGTGCTTTTGTTAGGACGATCTGAACTCTCATTTCGTTGAGGTATAGCAGTGACGGAATGAACATGAGCCATAGAATTAAACAAATGACTCGCGTTTGTTCGTAAATAATCAGTAAATTTCACAACTTTTGTTAAAACCACATTAGCCGTTTGAAATAAAAAATTCCTTGTGGCTTGCTTGCTGTTACATTCTTTTTCGACTTCTTGATTACGAGTTTGCGAAAACCTCCAAAGGTATGAGGAATTTTCCCCTTGATTTAGGTAAATGTTTTCGCTCTCTCCTTAAATTTTTTTTTGTGATCGCCATTTTGTATGTCGAATTTTGATTCTTTCTCAAGTTGATAATGGTTTCGAAACCTTGAAAGAGTTGTTAAGGTAAGGCCTCCAAGGGTGTGGGTTTGCTGCGGAGTTCTCTGAAATGGTTTGATTAGATGTCCAAAAGTTCAGAAGTTCTGGGAAAAAATTTGTTTAGTTGTTTTGGCAAAACTTTGAGCTTACCATTTCATCGGGTGAATTGCCGCAGTCTGCGTTATTCTAATAGTAACTGCTTACGAAGCAGGATCAAGTGCAATCTGTTTGTGATTGAATGTTACCCTTGAAAACAAGACTTTGCACTGTTCGGTCATAAATTACAGATGCTGTTCGTGATCATCGCGTTCAGTGAGCACCATGTGAAAACTGTGCTTGATCAGATTGAGCGGATCCCGTACATTGGCCAGTCCATTCAGCAACCGATTCATGATATGCTGCAAAAGCAGAAGACAGCCTTGCACCGACCTCCGGGGACCCTCGTCGAACAGGTCTGTAGTTTTCGTTGGCATCTGTCGGCAGTCTTGCCGTTTCTGTCTTGTTTGAATTTTATTACTGTTAAAACTTTACATAATCAATAATTTTTTGTCGTCGATATCAATTTTTTTAGCAAACATCCACGCTACAGGCTATTCTTGGAGGAATTGTAACGTTGATGATTTTTGGCTTCTTATTGTCGATATTCAATTCAATGGCCCAACGCTATCATAAACGGTTATGTGATCAAAAGAAGCAAGTCTAAGTCGCTTCTTTTGCTTTTGCATGGGTTGTGAAGAGGTATTCCTTATGTTTCGTTCCGGCTCGATTTTTCGAGCTTTCTATCTTGCGGGCATTCTCATTAAGCTTCTATTATTGTTGATCGAACGAAGATGTGATATGCAGCACTATGTGCTCGATATTCTGCGTGTACAGTACTCTCAAAGCTACAGTACTACTTCTTTTTGAACTGAGGCCAAGCGTCTTTTATAGGTGAACGAATGTTTCATTTGTCTGTCCGCGCCCGGTTTTCTCTGCTTAATCAGTTCAGGGTGATCACAGGCGAATGTATGTGCTATTATTTATTGAGACTTTAACTAGATCCCACTAGCAAATTACTATGACATTGTACAGCGCGCTTAATGTTGTGATCTGCAAGGCTATTCACCTGTGTGTTTTTCGAAGAAATGCTCTAGTTGAATACGATGTCATGTGAGAATTGACATTCCATTGTTTCTTGTGGGTATATTCCTCGTGAGTCTCTAGGCTTGGGTCATAGCTAATCTTGTTTCCAAATTCAATTGTCTCTATCAGTCGTTTTCTCATACATGTGCAAATCGATGACATGGTTCCGCGGAGTGTACTCTTCTTTCATTCATTTTTGCTTCTATTTGTTATTAGCACTTCTTTTGAATTCTAGCTGTTAATAAATATCTTTATGAGTTTCTGCGTTTGATGCATATTACTTTTTTGAAAATAAATTTCTCCTCAATACTGGGAATGTGAAGATGGTGGCGTTGCATAGCAAACCTCGAAGGAGACACATCAAAGACGAAACTCTTCCATAATTGCCCATTATCACCATAAAATTGCGGTAAAGACTTTGAAGAAGCTTTTATTGAGGGTCACACATTGGCTCAAAAAGTATCAGCGAGCTAAAAACTTGGAAAAGATGCCAGTTATACGGCAGCATTGTTCTTCAGAACTTTTCAGAAATGTGATCGCTTTAACAAAGAAGCTTAGAAACACGAAATAGTTTTGTAGCAAAGCCAGAATGCGTTAAAACACTGCTGTGCAAATCTTCAAATGTGTTCAGAATATTATTCATTATACGACCTAATTCGCAATGGTTCTGCATGCTGGAAGTTCTTACGTATTTATACCGTTATGAAGGGCGATCAATAATTCGCTTTGTACTGCAACTCTGAATTGAGGCCTCTTCTACCCTTTGCTTCAATCAGATCGGCGGCTGGAAGGCGGGGCTCTGTGACCTAATCAAGGCTAGAAAATGATCAGAGACATGTTCGCGAGCGAGGCGCAGACTGCGTCGCGGACGCGAGCAGTCGCCTCTTAGGTCATGAAGCCCCGCCTTCCAGCAGCCGATCTGGTTAAACCAAAGGTACGGAATGGTGCCTAAAGATTGGCGAAGACATTAGAGCAACAAAAGTATTGACGAACAAACGGTGTGCACATTTTTTGGGACAACCTGCAAACATATGATTATGCAACACATACGGGTGGCACAATGATGGAGGGTTTGGATGGCTTGGCAGTGTCCTGGCAAAATTCTATTTTCCGGTGGAGCGTTCTCGCCATGAAGAATCCATATTGGGCTTGTCAGTGCTTAGAGATGCGAAAAGAAGAGTTTTCCAAAGCTTTTTAGGTCCGCATTCAGTGGATGTAGTGTGTGAGTCGGGGGTGGGGGGAACGAGGGAGGGCGGAAGGCTTCTGGGGTATTAAACACATTTGCTTTGCTTAATTAGTGTTCAGTCGTAATCGACTTTTAAAAGTTTCAAGCGTCGAAGATTTATCAATTTTTGAAGCACTGGGTGATTTACGTCTTCGCAAGAATGATGACTTCCAAAGAATTTTCTTGCAAAACTATTAAAAGTCGGTTGAAAAGAAAAAAGGGTTGTTTTGCGTTCTGTTCACCTTTCCAACAGTGACAAAAGCTTTTCCAAAATTTAGAAATGAAAAAAAAAACGCCAAATAAAGTTGGGTAGAAACCATGGTTAGGAGATGACGATCATTCGAGCGAGATCAAAGTTCTCGGAACAACACATTGACGCTTGAAAGAGGAACATTTTCTGCATCGAACACTGTCTGAAAACATTTGCCTGTTATAACACTTCAAATGATTCCAAGATGGGTCTGAAACGGCACGAACTCATCGAATGCTGACGGAAACAGCCAACATTCAACTGATTTGCTTGAATTTTGACAAAACCTGGTGAGCATTTTGTGGGGTAGTGAAGATGTTCTCTAAAAACCATATGTTAATTTACGCACTCTTATACCTTAACGAAAAAATCATAGTTCAGTGCAAAAGGTTTAGCTGAATCTGGATGGTGATCTTGAAACGACTGAATGAGGCCTATTATATACCTTAGTGGAAGAACATCTCTTAGTAAATGATGCCTATAATATGCATGAAGGTGAAGAGAATGTTTAGAAAAGCTGCAAAACCTACAGCGAAATCACACATCGCAAAACTTTACCGTAGCCTAATCTATATCTCAGATCAATGCTAGAAGTAAAACTGGATTTTCCACAGTCCTGTCAAAAGTGGGAACTCCTGCTTGCTAAATTTGACCAAAGTTTTGGAAATGTTTAGAGAAATGCATGCGATTATTTGAAGCTTATCGGTACATGGTAAAGCTCAATTCACTCTGTTGAGGGCTCAAAGACAGTAACAGGTTTTTTTCCAATTATAAGACAGTTGATTCTTGATGCGGATGTCATATGGATAGTGAAAGACAATTATCGACGAAATCTTGTAATCTTATCATGGCTATCAACAAAGTATTCAAAAAGAAAGGATCACGACTATGAGCCCTACCTTGTTAGGACGGGCACGCTCACATTAATTGTTGAGTTGAATTGAAAGTAAGTGGCTAAGTCTGGTCATTTGATTGATTTTTATTGCAAAAACTGCAATAAGTCTAGCCGTGCGAACCGACCAACTCGAAAATTATACCGTCAGGTGGCAATGGGGAAAAATGTTGGTGTAAGAATAGGATATTTTTGATCTCTTTAATGTAAGACAGTAATGTTCTCAGAGGGACTTTAGGTAATTCAGTGGTCTCAAGTGAATATCTTTCTGCCTGGCATGAATGAATTTGTGAACTCTCCGAAGACAGAAAATATGGACCGTCGGCTGGCTTAAGAAGAATCGCCCTGTTGAACCCACATTATTGAAATAGTTGTAGGCAGTATTCAGTGGGAGGATCGCTCAAAGATTTTGGTAAGATAAACTAAAAAGAACGTTGTTAGGCCCGAACAAAATGTGACACCTGATAAACTCTAAGGAGTTTAAGATTTATCAGTCTCAATGATTCTGGTCCCAATAAGTACTAGGTGAATCTAGCCATCCCCAAGTAGTTTATGAAGGTTTCTTACCTAATCGTAGTCTATATGTACATCACTGTGGCAGGCTTCAACCTCGCAAAAATCTAGCAAATTGAAATTCGTGGGAATGCCTACAGGCAAAATTTTCATATTGCTGCATTCTATTCACAGAAACATTACTCAGGAACAATCTGATACAGTGCTTATCTAAAACTGTGCGACGCTTTTTTGGGTCACTATTCTTTGCTGAAAAAGTCCATTGGTGAGAAAGTTTTTTTTATGTAAAATGGTATTTTGCAGTTTTTTGTTTTTGCATTTTTACTTACGACTAAGGCCTGCCCTGCGATAAACCTAAAGGCTTCTCATATGTAAGAAATTTCTGCAATTTCTTTCTGGCTGGGAGCGGCACTCTAGCATTCTTGAAGACAAACTCAAAACCGCGATTTGGGAGTGCCATATTTGTAAATTTATTTCTTCAGTGTGGGCCAACAAATGCGCTTAAACAACCTTCATTGAACGCAAATCTTCGATTAACGTTTTGAAACAGAATATGAATTTAGGTTCAATATTTGAAAAGTTATTGAGATTCGTTTGAATTACTCAAGAATTTTTGCGCCCAAAATATATGACGAAGCTGAAGTACAAACAAGACAATGTTTGCCAAATGCTAGCATTGATGAGATAATTACGTGAAGATTAGTAGTGCAATTTTTTTTTACAAACTTGCTATTTTTATCTGCGGAGTAAAGCTCTCATATCCCAAAAATGGTGCAAATCCCTCAAACGTCTATGACTATGTCCCAAATAGACACTCTCTAATTTTATGAAAGTGAGATGGCGAAAATGGAATTTGAAGGGTTAGAATGAACCTAAAAGCAAACGATTTTTTTTATCAATGCAGGTGCAGAATATGCAATCCTCTTCATCTTCTTTGTATCAGTGCTCTCATTCCATTCATTCAAACTCTTATCCTTCATTCCTCCACTGCTGGAGGAATGAAGGATAAGGGTTTCACCCACACTGGCCGTTGCTGTTATTAGAGTATGAGATTTAACAGTATGTGGATTGAGAACAGATGATTTTAAGCAATGATTTCGTGAGAAGAGAATGAGAAACGTTTCGACTCTCCTCATAGAGAGTATCTAACTTGCATTCAAAAAACATTCGGTAATCTTGTTAGCATTGAATAAAACCTAAAAAATGGTTGGTTTCAAAATTCTGCACTTTCTTATACCTCTTTTTTCCTATTTTTTCTCAGTGTATGGTCTCGTTTCAATAGAGTTTTGTTCAGGCTGTGGCTCTGTATCTCAAGAGGACAACAAAGCAAGTATGGAAATTTTTTGTTTTTTCCTAATAAATCTGGAGGAGACGTAATTTTTTGGAAACAACTGCAGTGTTATGGGACCTGTGCTACAAAATGCCGCTAGTGATAGATATCTAGAAGCATGACTTCTCATTGAAGCTCTTAGGAGTCACCAGTCCGCCTTTAAATCGTAATCGCAGTGGGATAACTTATGTTCCATACAGCAGTATACTGGACCAAGACATTTTATATTGAAAATCAAAATTCTCCTCAACTGTCAGCGGCTAGTGAGTGTTTTTAAAAATTCGGAAAATTCATTTTCTTCCGCTTTAGATATGGCAACTTGGATTGATTTCGAATTTTCCTTGCAGAATCTTGGAAAAAATGAAGCAATTTTCAATTAGCATTACTGCTTAGCCAACTGGCTACGAAATAAACAAAGTTTGCTCAATCTTACCAAATTCAAAACAACTTACTGCTTATGGCTTGCAAAGGAAATTACGATCTCTCAGAATTCTTTTTTGTTATCGCAGTAACTTCTGAATACGTATGGCTCTGCAAGGATTCTTGATCAAAAAGCTTATCATGTGGGCAAAGATTGCTTTTTTCTGATAAGAGATACGATGACGCAAATTTGAACTTTATGAGGAAATTTTGGACTTTTGACACAACCGAATTTTCGAGAACTCTCCGAACAAGCATGACATATCACTTATAAAAAGTGAGAAAGTACACATAGATCTTACGATCAAAGAAAGAACAATGGTTTCCTATTTTGATGAATTTCTCTCGTCAGACTAAGCATGCTGATGATGACCTTTAAAAGTCTTTCGAAACATAATAAAGATGATGCTGAAGAATTAAACTTCAAATCCCTCAACAATGCTGGAACTTTCGTGTCTTCTAGTGCATCGTTACGAAATTACTTTTCAAGAGGCTTCATGGAGTTTCGCCCACTTAATCCCCATCTCCATGCAATGACGTCATCGAAAATATTTTTCGTTGCATTGTTCGGCTCGGTAAGTACGTCTCCTAAATCCAGCAATCGCTCATCAGCGATGGCACTTGAGAGTTAGTTCGAAGAAGAAGGAAAGAAGCGACTAGCGAAGGGATTTATATGAAAGGCGGCTACCGTAACCCCGCGCGGAGACGCCCCTTTTTCGAAGAGACGAAGACTGGCATTTGCATACGCCTCGGGGCACGCAAAGCTTATGGCCGACGACGATCTCAGCAAGCTGATTGCCAAGGGTGAGTTTATTCGTATTAAACTGTACTATGTGCATGTTCCATGTTTACTACGTCGTGCAAGCTTTCCCAAATCTGGGAATCCAGGAATCCACGCACAGCCCGCAAAATGCACCCCCGTATTTGCATATGGGACAATAATGCTGCTCTCGAGAGCAGCATAGGGGGATGAATGCAATATATGAAGCTATATTGCTTGTTTCAGATATCCTTCCACAGACGGACAACTGGGAGGGAACTGAGAAATTCTTGCGCTCAATAGTTGAAGTAAGAGATAAGGATACTGCTTGACGCATAAAATTTCCAGTATTAATCTCATTTCAGGTTTTGTTGAAGTATATACGAGAAGAAAATGATCGCGACAGTAAAATACTCGAATTCCATCATCCAGCCGAAATGCTACAGCTCATTGATCTTTCGATTCCAGACCAGCCAGAAGATCTGCAACATCTTGTGAAGGTGTGTTCTACAGACTCCATCCGCTGCTCTGCAGTCATTTTCGAATAACATAATTTTTGAGAGAAGCTCTGCCACATGTCTGCTACACTGTTATTTTCTCTGATTATGGCCGGAAGTTTCCCAGCAGTTGCTTGTTTTTCAAATTTAAAAGGAAAGAAGAAGGTTGCAAATACATATGCGCACTAACAATTCTTGAATTTAAGAAGGTTGTGGTGATTTTTTTTCTGCATCTCTGATCTTATCACCTCACCCGTTTCTACTTTCCAAGCTCAGTTATCATATGTTGTAAAACCTTATCAAGGACATCAACTTACAATTTACGACTACTAGCAACTAGTGCTAAAATATATTTTCTATGAATCAACTTGCTAATTCGTTAGAACGATTTAGTACCGAGTTTGATTATTTATTTTGACTGATATGTTTTTGAAAAGTGAGAAAATTTGGGTGTATTTGCTTAGAATTTTGGTAGCAGGTAGTGTTTGTGAGAGCTACGCACTCTACTCATGTTTCATAAACTGCCAGAATATGATCTTGGTCTGTTTTCATTCAAAGAAATTGTCTTTCCAATATAGTATGATACATAACAATGCACAACATAACTTCAGTTGTTCTCTTAGTGAGAATTGCTAAGATTGTGCATGCGTGGCTGAAATACTCTCAGACTGTGATTGCTTTCTGAATATAACTTTTATATTTAAGTCCGGTAGAATTTGAACCTCACAAGAAATTTTAGTTGCTGTTTTTTCATGATCTTCTTTTTGTCATTACACCACTATGGAGAAAGATTTCAATCTGTGGTGGTCCTCGTTTGGACAATTGCCAGAAACTTTCCTAGAAACTTTGCTTAGATCTCAGCCGTATCTATGGGAATTGGTAAACGCCCCAAAATTTCGGTAAACGATTGAAATTTCATGTCTGAAAAGCCATCTTACTCTTCTACTAGTCATGCATAGCTTGAGAGACCCCGCCTACATCACTTGGCAACATCGCCATTGGGCAGAACTAATTGCATTCATACATCACCTAAAATTATTCCCTTATTGATTTGGGTAAATGTCAGAAGTTTCAGCTCAATGGGAAGAGGAGTAAAAGCCATGTTATTTGTCATTTCTGAGTCTTCCAGACTATTCTAAAGCCATGTGACCACGGCTTAAGCCGTCTGATGCAGAAATGCGGGCTACAACAACTTCAGGGTATTCGAGCGTCAGCATTTAACCCAAAATTTCCTGTGAAGAGAGGGAAACGAAAACGTTTCTTTTATAAAAGACGTGGCGTTAGGCAAAACCTTGAGATTTTCTCTTGCAAAGCTGATTCACCACGGGGGAGGAGATGACGTCCCACGTATATTCAAAATTCCTAAAGACTGTAACAGCTTCCATGTTGAGAGAGATATGTTGTGAGGCTGCGTCCAGACTTACCTTTGTGACAGCGCCATGCTAACTCCGTCGATCGATCAATATAAGAGCGTCCGCATGAATGCTGGCACGGCGCTAGCACGTTTAACTCTGGACGAAGTCTGAAATAAACTGAGTAGAATTGGTTATTTTATAAGATGTGCCACTAACGCAAAGAATATATCTTATTTACAAAGTGAAGGAACACAAGTTCGAGAAATGTTATCTTCCCAAGTTTCATTCGCTTCACTTTGTCTAGCCTTAGTCTTCGGCGCATTTCATAGATTTTGCATGCTGCATCTTCCTCGTGCCTATCCTATTCAATCCTACTCCGACAAATAAACATAACAACACTGCCATATACTCTACATCCATATATTGAATAGAACATATCCACTAAAAAAACTCAATAAAACTTAATGTGATATTATAGGAATGCGAGAAGGTGCTTCGGCTTGGTGTGCGTACAGGACATCCAAGATTTTTCAATCAGGTAAGACCATTGACTACCACGTAAAAGGAACTGAACCTAAGGAAGCCTATAATTTAGATCTCGTGTGGCCTCGATCTAGTATCTATGGCTGGAGAATGGCTAACGGCCACTGCAAATACTAATATGTAAGCTAACGCATTTACAAAAACAAGAACAATCTCTTCACTTTTTCCAAAGGAAGGGAGGGGGGGGATGGGGGAAAGACTCGAATAATTTTCTCGGAATAGATGGAAATGCCTCTGATCTGGCCCTGTGAGATTTTTTGGGGCGCTTTTCAAATTTTTCGCAAGCAATAGCGACGATTTTTTTGGAAAGAGAGCGTGACGACGGCAGCCACAAATCTGAAATATCTCACAAGGAACATGGACTTTCACAAAATTCTTAAATCAAGTTCGATTAAATATATAGAATGTTTCTTACATATATTTTTATAACTCGAGTAGCTTTTATTTTCACTCCTTTTCTCTTCTTTTCTCGCAGTGTGGGGGAGGAGAGGAGGAGGGGGGGGGGGGAGAGATTTGGCTTTGCGGATATTTCCAACACAAGTTTCACCATCATCTTTATGTTGAGGTACCTACAAACCTTGTGAGATTTGCGACATACAATATGGTAGTAACCTACATATTGTTTCAAAAGATATCAATACAGAAGGCATTGCTAAACTGCTATAAGGTTTTTCAGCAATGATAATTTTCTGTTTTTAATTCTTGCAGGAGGATCTACTGAATCTACTGATCGTTGAGTATCAAAAATGCAATGTTTTTCAACGGAAAACTGTGCAGCGAATACTTTCAAATTTTTAGGTTCACTTATGAGATAGCACCAGTTTACATTCTCATGGAAAAAGCAGTGATGAAACGCATGTGGGAGGCGATTGGTTGGGATCCAGAGACAAGCGATGGAATCTTCGCTCCTGGTAAGCGAGAAATTCTTAAACGTGACCTAAAGAAAAATAATTTTGATTTTTCAGGCGGTGCTTTAGCTAATCTTTACGCCATGATAACTGCTAGGCATGCGATGTATCCTCGTAGCAAATATGTCGGTCTCAAGGACGTTCCACAACTTTGCGCTTTCACTAGCGAAAGTGTAAGTTTCTTACTTTTAGTAATTTCTATTTCATCAGAAGTTGAAAGAACCTTTTCTGAAAGCTTATTCACGATTTCTAGAGACAAGTAACGTGCTCCTTCTATATCAGTTTTCTGAAACTTAGTTTACAGAGCCACTACTCAATAAAAAGCGCTGCTGCGGTCTGTGGTATTGGTACTGATCTGTGTTTTGCTATCTCTAACGACAACGCAGGTAAAATGATCCCGGAAGAGCTAGAACACAAGATTATCGAATGCAAAAAAGAGGGTAAGTTACTTTGCATTTTTTATGGTTCTTACAAGGGAAGTCACTTAATTTAGGTCGGCCTTTTGAAATGGGACACATATATTTAGAATCAGCTCGGAACGCTGATTCCAAATATGCTGTCCTTAGCTGCGAAGCGTTCCTCTGAAGCGAGTTATGAGCTTTTTAGCATGTGTAATCGACATATAACTGAATATGGAAAGAAGGCCTTCAGATGAAAATCTGCTTAAAAAAGTGGTGGGAAATCGAAATAACATCAGACTGAGTCATTTGGCTTTGATAGGGTGTTGTATACATTTGAACTACTACCTGGATGACGATACCGTAGCATGCCTAAGTCGGTTGACAGGCAAACTTTGCTTGGGAAAAAGCTCATAACTCGCTTCAGAGGAACGCTTCGCAGCTATAGACAGCATATTTGGAATCAACGTTCCGAGCTGATTCTAAATATATGTGTCTCATTTCAAAAGGCCGACCTTAATTAAGTGACTTCCCTTGTTAGACTGCTCACAAGCATTTCCCTCTCAGGTCTCGTTCCCTTTTTCGTGTGCTGTACGGCCGGGACGACCGTGTATGGAGCTATGGATCCTATCGACAAAGTTGCTGACATCTGCGAGCGACACAAAATTTGGCTGCATGTTGACGTAGGAAATTTTTTGAAGTAGTCGATCCCTATGGGTCTAGAGAGTTTATTTCAGTCTGCTTGGGGAGGAGGTTTACTGCTATCACCAGAGCATCGCTATAAGTTATCTGGAATTGAGCGAGCCAACAGTGTCACTTGGAATCCCCACAAATTGATGGGAGCTCTACTGCAGTGCTCTGCTTGCCTTTTTAAGCAGGATGTAAGCATTTTTTCTGATTTTTTGTTATGCCAAAAAGCTTGCCATTTTTTAGGGTCTGCTCTTCCAATGTAATCAGATGTCGGCTGACTATCTCTTCATGCAGGACAAGCCTTACGATTGCAGCTATGACACAGGAGATAAGGCCATCCAATGTGGCAGGCATAACGACGTATTCAAATTGTGGCTGATGTGGAAAAGCAAGGTAATTCGCGTGCTTGAGGCGTTCGATTTTAGGAAAGCTGACTTCGTGATGAAATTTGGAGAAAATAATGAAATGAAGGGCACTAACCTGATTCGCGAATTTTTTGACTCATCAAACGCTTGGCTAAGATTTTTGAACACCCCCGCACCCATTGGTCTGATGACGGAACCCGAATTCTAATGTTTTTATCGATATAAAATATTGTATAAAGATGAGGTTTGGCCAACAAATTTCAACTTTCAATAACTGAAAGCCTTATCTCTTGCAGTTCACATATTTGCATGTTTTGAAGTTGAAATACAAGTTTTCAACGAACTTATTTGGATTTTGAGGCTATTTTTGATCTCAAAGATAAACCAAGATCGACTGCCGCAAGTGCGAGCAAACTGCACTCAGAACTAGGGAAAAAGAGGATTTTACCCTTCTTTCCAGACTACAAAACACATTTAATCTCCATTGCAAGACTACGCCTTTGCATAAATCATCTGATTTCAACATTCCAGGGAACGGAGGGCTTCAGACAACAAATCAATCGACTAATGGATCTCGCTGCTTACTTTACCCAAAGAGTTCGTGAAACAGAAGGCTATGAGCTCGTCTTGGATCCTGTTAGTTATCTCTGCGTATTTTATTTTCCTGAACAGTAAAGTGTTCTTACAGCCTGAATTCCTGAATATTTGCTTCTGGTACATTCCGAGCAAATTGCGAAAACTGGAACCGGCCGAGAGGCAGGCTCGACTGGAGAAGGTAAGGATGTTGAAGTTTATAAAAACACCAAAGACTGTGAACCTCTTTAGATGGTAGAATACCATATGGTTGTTGTCGATGTTGTTTGTATTCTTTTACCTTTTTTCTGATCTGACGAATACTTTTTTCAGATTTTCTTACAGATTTTCTTACATTTTCTTATTGTTAGACATGATTATTTGATACTTACTTTATAGCTTACTTCAAGCAGGCTTCTTTCATTGAAAAATTTACATTTCCAGATTGCTCCAAAAATCAAGGCAAGAATGATGGAACGAGGCACAACGATGGTTGGCTATCAACCAGATAAACAACGCCCAAATTTCTTCCGTATGATTATATCGAATCAAGCAATCACCCGCGAAGATCTCGATTTTCTAATCCAAGAAATTGTAGACATTGGAGAATCCTTGTAAAACACTTAGGTCTTGAAAATTGGCAGTATCTAATTGTTTAGTGGTCTTCAAAAGTGTAGTAGTTGCCGTTTAGTCGTGTAATTGTGCTGATTGTGATCATGCTGTTGTGAGAATTTATGAAATGCGAAAAGTAAACAGATATGATATTGAGGATATGATATTGAAACGAAGTTTACTTCCTTTCATAATCATTCGAATAAAGCCAGAGATCGTTTATTTGAAATTCCCATGTGCCAATGGAGAAAATTGCATACAGCATAACAGAAACCAGTATGGATGTGAGGAAAAGTAAAATGAGAAGCTGAACCAAAAGTTCGCATAATGCAAAAGTCCTGAAATTTTCAGTGCACGCAGTAGTGGACTTCTGTGAAGGCAACTATTAATTACAATTCTTGAATGAGAGAAAAAAAGCACATCGGTAACTTGAATGACTTTACGCCCCCAGATGACTTAAAAATGCAAAACTATTAGGTTGTTACACAAGTTTTGTTACACTTTTTTCGTCATCCTCTGGAAAACTCTAGAGAATTCGGCGAGATCTCATATTTGGTCTATATGGAGAAGAGATAAAGGGCTATCAGTTGGCACCATTTAGGCTCTCACCACATAACTTACAGTCAATATAAAGCCAACTCTGTAGAGGCACTCCAACCTCCAATTTTTTCTTTGTTTTCTAAAAAATCTCTTAACCTTCTTTTCCAACTTTTTAGATTTTTTATGAACTTTTGGGAGCATTGGTAGTAACTACTGGGCAGTTTGGAAGTTCAAGCTCTTCAATATCCAAATTGGAAATTTGCCAAAAATAATTCGAAAAAATTTCAAAAATTTTAAAATTTGATTTTTTATGTGTGACATGTACATATCAAAATTATGCTACATTACACATAGTTTGGAGGTAAGAAAAAATCATTTGACAACGTTATGAGGATTTTTTCAGTTGAGTGTAACAAAACTTATGTAACAACCTAATATTTATGCGCTGTATCTACGAGGGGTCGGCTCACTTGCTTCAATTATATTTTCTTTGAGAATGAGTCTGCTCACTTTTTCGATGTCAACATTTTTTCTTGCGAATTTCTTCTGGATAAAAAAAACTAGTTTTGATATTCTCAGCACTTTAGCACAAGCTGGTAATTTAGCAGAAAAGCCAAAAGTTTTGCTTCAAAGCGGATGAGTAATAAACAGAACATTTCAAGGCACGAATGTTATATAGCGATCTTGAAATTACAGCACTTGAAGCAACTCTAATTCTCTCATTCGAAGACGCATCTCTGTGTGGCGTGCAAGAGAAACCATACCGGGGCTGTCAATGACTCGCACATCATTTACCTTCAATTTTGAATACCAGGCAGTAATTTAGAGCATTTTCTTCCTATAAGACTTCAGTTACACTGAAGAGCTGAATAAATTTTGTTTGCTTGAAAATGAAATGTGAAAGTTGTGAAAATAATGAGAAAGAGTTTCAGAGGGGAACTTCGAGTATTTCAAGTTTTCCTTGCAGTATACGAAATGCATCGAAAATGGTTCCAGGGCCTCCATAACTACAGCATTACAAATCCACTCATTTTGATTGAGTTTGGAATTTGCACGTTGTGAGAGCAGTGTATATATATATATATATATATATATATATATACATATATATATATATATATATATATATATATAAAACTCAAAAATTGTCAGTTTGGAGGGTATGTGCGCTATAGAAACGCGCGCCACTCAACCGATTCAGCTGGAACTTTGCACACTTATGTTCTCGACCCCTGCGCAGATGATAGGCTACTTTTCGCGGCGATTCACGGGGTCCTTTTATCGATTTATTGATTTGTTTACGTTTTTCTAAGGAATTGAAGGCTTATCATGTTTAATCAAGCATTTTCCCATCGTCATGTAAAGAAGGGCGGTGAAGCTCATTTTCACCTTAGGAACACGAGGATGCGGTATCGAAGCGGATGTCTCAGGGTAAGTCATCCAGAACATATAAGAGGGGGGGGGGGGGCGCAGTGCAGGTGAAAATGGCACGGGCTGGACCGGGAAAGCCAATTAGTAGCCATATATTAGGGAGACGATCTTTTCGCACGGGCGGTCTTAAAGGCAGCGTCCAGGCAAATCCGAGCTCGACGACCACTCCCACCTTTCTCGGACGGCCAACCCCTTATAAACGAAATCTCCTCAGCCTTGACGTGTTTTCACATGACCAACACAGTCGAACTTACAGCGTTCACCTATTAATACTTGCTTTCGACAAGGATAACATCAGAAGCACTCGTCCGGGTTTTCCCAAAATAGCCCCAAAAGGTGGTTTTCTGAGAAATTCACGCTTTTTGACTTCCATATTCGGAATCAGCGCCATGGAAAGGCCTGGATAACATAAAAATATAGAAGTCGAGAATTTGCCTGGACGCTGCCTTTAAGCGCCACCCCGATTTTGACTTGTCTTAACACGTCACGCACGCCGCAACCCTTTGCTCCCGCTGCTTTGCTTAGGAAAGCCGCCGCAGGATATGTCGAGCGCGGTGGTCGTGTGTGGAAAGCGTCACAAAGCATCAGCGTGCGAATCGCCCTATACCCCAAAAAGTAATTCCAAAAAACTTATACTCAGCTTTATCAGTCCAAAATCGAAAAATGAATTCAGTTGTTTACGAGCTATGTTTTTGAAGGCGGCATTGGTTTTTCATTTTGCAGTATGTCACGCTACTCTCTGGCCGCACCTGCTCTGAGGAGTTTGCTGAAGATCGCTGACGGGTTGGTCCACTGAGTCAATCACCTGATTTCAACCCTGTACTGGAGGAATCACTTGGTGGCCTCCTTCAACAACGACTTCCAAGTCAGTGAATCAAGGTTTGGTAGTCGCCACATGGACAATGGTCGCCGTAAGCAACATCTCGGAACAAAATCCAGAATCTTATGTCAGGCAACAAATCGACCAATGCAATCATTGCCTTTTGACGCCATTCACGCAAAAAGATAGACAACTTCAAGTACTTGTCTATTTATGACTTGCAGATTTACTTGTCAAGCAAATTCATTACTTTGTGAAACATCTATTAGATACCAGTCCACTTTTACCGGCCAAAGTCGCATAGATCTAATCAATCTTTTGAGGGCTCCACTCATCGGCACTGCATGCAGTAATTCATCCCTGGGTTGACCGCCACCGTTTGTGTATCTTAAACGTTACACAGCGGCCTTATATAAAGCGCGGTTCATAATTATATGGACACCACATATCTTGGAGATATCGGGACTTTTTGTAATAACTTGAAGAACCTTGATACGTTTCGGACCGCGAAATCGCGCGCGGCCAAAAAAAGAGTACTTTCAGCCGTTAGCCAACAAAGGGACCTTGTTCCGTAGATTACGAGATACATCTGTAATCAGCATGCCAGATAAGTTCTATACCAAGTTCCGAGTGAATTCGGAATGTTCAAATTTTGCCGCTTGAGAGGGACTTCCCTGCTTTCTTGAAAGATAGGAACTAGAACTCATTTCCTAATAGTACTCAAAAGTATCTATGTTGTGCACTTTATACATCACTAGCTGGCTTTCCCGGTCCAGCCCGACTTACCGTTTAGGAGGATGGCCAAGCCACACTTCGTCTCTCCTCCCTCCTTTTTCGGTTCCATACCCTTTTTTGCAGTGTCGATACTGCATTAAAGGCCCCTCCCCCTTTCCCTTCTGCCTGAGCTTACCTCAGAGTGACTGATTGGAGTAACTGCATCTTCTACACTTTAGATTGAAAATGAACTTTACCGCATTGTCTACACACCAAAGCATGGGGTTTGATAGTGGCTGATAAGCTTCATTTTCATTGCAAAGTGCCAAAAATCAATAAACCAACAGAAGGATCCAGCGAATCGCTTCAAAAATTAGCCTAAAGCCATCTACTGGGTCGAAAGCATATATGTGGAGAGTTTCAGCTCAATCGATTCATGCGCAATTCACTTTCGTACACCACTTTTGAAAGAAATGCAGAAATGAGATACCCACTCGTGCCGAAACCATTGGTACCATGTGAAGGAGCGTAGCCGAACGGTACACGCAGCACAAAATTGAGTTTCGGTGTCTATCTTGAAGAAGCATTGTGCTCCGAACACGTTTTTGGCCAGTTCATAAACTTGAATCAGAGCTCTTTTCTTGCTTAACACATTGACGACCGCTTGACACACATATTGTCAAGCAATGACTACCACTTTGTGTGTCAAGGCTTTACTACCACCATGTGTGTCAAGGCTTGAAATTTATTAAAATGACTACTATCCCGGGACAAATTCACTCCACGAGCTTTCTTTTGCGCTGAATTTAGGGATAATTTTTACCTTTTTTTTCAACCTTTCAGATCTACTATAGGTGTACTGTTCATGGCAGTGTGCATAATTATACTTGAAAAACGTGGGCTGGTCTGTATAAGGCCTCGGTCCCAGAAGGCAGACAACCAAAAATCTGCATGGTCGTCAATGTGTTAACGCTGCAATATTTGGCGTTCATGTTTTTATGTAAAGGAAGATCTCGATATCTGAGAATACCCACTAGGTGCTAAACCCAATAAAGTTTGAAAAGGGAAACCTTACTTTAGTTTCATAACTCGAAATGGCTCCGGACCAAGCCGGTACCAGAAATGCCCGTTTTATTAAAATTTCAAATCTTTATGCAGTTCAAACAGATAAAGGATAAGGGACCAACAAATCTGTGTCTAACGCTCAAAAATGTTAATTTCATCATCCCAATTGCTAACCTGGACTCAACTCACCATAGGGTTGGCGCACTTTTGAACCTCACTCGACTTCTGCTATCCGCAAGATTCTGTGATGAGGCAAATGTTTTGTTTGTATGACGATATTTCTGTTCTAGAGTTATTGAATTCTTCGCAAAGCTGTCCTCAAAGCTTCGGAGCCAAAAAGCAAGAGAAAGCATGCTTGCGTTAAGTTTCATAGTCATTTTCATTGGATGTCGAGCGAATGGCGGAAGCGATGCTTTACGTTCAAATTTTTCAAACAAAATATAAAGTCTTGCACTCATCATACGCAATATTGAGTTTTCGGTGTGCTTACAACATTGCAGAAGTTTGTGGACGGCATAAGTCGAGTGTTGAGGCTCAAAAGTCTGCCAACCCTATGGTGAGTTGAATCCGGGTTGGCAACTGAAACGATTACATGGATGTTTTCTTTGCGCTGAACTGCACAATGATGATCTTTTATTCTTTATGCGCACGAGCTGGATAAAGACGTAAAATCTCTATAAAACAGGCATTTTTGGTATTGACTTGGTCCGGAGCCATTTCGAGCTATGAAAGTGAGTAAAGTTTCCTTTTTCAAACTTTATTAGGTTTAGCCTGTAGTAGGTATCCCAAACCTTGAGATCGTAGCCTTGCAAGAAAATCTGAACGCCAAAACTTGCAGCGTTGAGCAAGAAAAGAGCTCTGATTGAGGTGTTGTATTACTATGAACCGGTCAAAAGCTTGTTCGGCGCACAATGCTTTTCCAAGATTGACATCGAATCTAATTTTGTGCTGCATACTGTTTTCGGTTACGCTCCTTCGCATAGTAGCAATTGTTTCTTGCATCTCCTTTAGGCTCCCGCCAGAGTGCCGAAGTTATGCCAGCGCTACGCCAGCATTTACATCGATACACGTGTATTTTGTTGGGGCGGGGCTAGCTGACGTCCCCAACGAAATACACGTATATCGATCGAAATGCTGGCGTAGCGCTGGCATAACAGCCTTAGGCTCCCGCCAGAATGCCGAAGCCATGCCAGCGCTACGCCAGCGCCCAGCCAGCGTTTCGATCGATACACGTGTATTTCGTTGGGGGGGGGGGGGGGGGTCCTGGCTGAGAACTAGGTCAGCCAGCCGCACCCCCCAACGAAATACACGTGTATCGATCGAAACGCTGGCTGGGCGCTGGCGTAGCGCTGGCATGGCCTCGGCACTCTGGCGGGAGCCTTAAAAAGCGCGGAAACCAAAATATGGGGTGCTCGTATGATTATGAACTGATCTTTATGATCTTTTTAGAAAAAGCTTCTCATAGCTTGGTAGAAGAAAGCTGATTATGGTGCTTGAATCAAGAAAATATAAGTTTTCGAAGCGCAGTGCTCCAAAGCATTTCAAGCTATCTGAGAAGAGTAACGCTTTTCTTTTCTAACTGCACTGGCTCGGGTTCGTATGAATACCTCAGACTTCGTTAACGTGACTTTACAAAAAATTTTGACTCAAAGATTGCAGTATTGAATGGAAGAAGAAGCTTTATTTAAAGTGTTGTGTAATTATGTACCGTTAGTCGTATTCGGAGCAAAAACATTCCTAGGACTGACACCGAATTTCATTCTTGTGCCACCATTACCCTTCCGGTTGTGCTCTTTCATGTAGCAGCAAAGCTTTTTGAGTTTCTTACAGAAAAGTCCCCCAACTTCTAATGGATCTTCGTATGGTTGTGAACCACAATTTATATCATGTACACAAAGTGCAAGTAACAAACATAACAGAGCATTTCCACATATTTGAGATATTAGATTTCTGCTAAAAAAGAATTGAATTAATTTCCGTTTTATAGCGTATAGTTTCGTTTCCTAATTTTTCAGCCACCTACACACAACAGTTAGAACCATTGGAGCGACAACTAATAATAATCTACCAAACAATCCATGCTATGGTTCTCTGGACAGAAAATTACTAAACAGTAATATTGGCGCGCAGCGATGGGCATCATCTGGTTCCACTGATCTAAGCAAACTTATTTCCAAAGGTAGGTTCCAGATAAAGTTTTTCTCCTATGTCAAAAACCAAGTTTTTCTTTTTGTAGAGATTCTTCCTCGAACAGACAATTGGGAAGGATCTGAGAAATTTCTTAAGGCTGTTGTAAACGTAAGCTTATAGACTCCAAAACTCTAGCAACAGAATGCTTTAAGGTCCTGCTGAAATATATCCGTGAACAGAATGATCGCTCCAAAAAAGTGCTCGATTTCCATCATCCAGCCGAGATGCTCAAGCTAATCGACATGAGCATTCCAGAGAAACCACAAAATTTGGAACACCTTGTGAAGGTATATTAGGCTAACGTATGTTGAGATTGCCTACACGTGAGTGTCGTCTTGGTAGATTATGTTAGTATGCACAGCGCATATAAGTTAGCAAATTTATGGAGACATCGGCTTTTCCGCTATGGAGCAGTGGTGGGATGCTGTTAGTAGGTAATTTCCCATACATCTGCTGAATTATCCTACTATAATAACGCGCTAAGGGTGTTTACGTTTTTTTTGTGTGTGTGTGTCTGAATGTCTGTCTGTCACGAAATTCATAGCGCGAGTTCCAGCCAACGTCCTGAGCCCAAATCTTGCATAGCGCATGCTACCAGTATAAAAGTCCACCATGCGAAAGCACGAGCGGATTTGTTGAGTGGATCCCTCAGAAATTGCGCGTCAGCCGGGTCCAATTGGCTTTCGGCCCGCATATCGGATCCATATCACCACTTTTTGCAAAGTCGTGGATGTGCTTAGCATCTCAATGTGCAAGCCATGGGCTTTGCTCCAAAAAAGGGATCAAAAGTCTACTACTTTACAAAAACGACGCCGAAAAGTATTGATTGCTCGATGGTCGATTTGCCAAGGTTTTACTTGAGCATTTGAGAAGATTTTTGCACAGAGATGTGGCTCAGAGTGTTATTGTCCTTATAGCAAGTACCTAGCCAGAAAAAAGTTCAAGAACCTATTCAAATTTGCATTTGTTCTTCTGCGAAAAATTTCATCCTCTCAAAATTACCGTTCTCACATGGAAAAGCTTTTGGAATGAGTAGTTGTTTACGTTTTATTCGTGATATTCGGCATCGTCCGGTGAGTTTCAATGCCATCACAAGGCATGAATGAGTAAGGCGTACAGAGTAGGACATAGCGAGCCTCTGCGAATCACTGTATTTCATAGCGCAAGCTGCAGCCAATATTTCGAGCTGATTTTTTGGCTATAGCACGCCAGCAGCACCCAGGTTGATTATGTAAAGAAGTGAGCGAATCTGTTTCGGTTGAAAATCGCGAGTCAAACGGATCCACCAGGCATTTGCTAAGGCAAAAATGAGATCCTAATGCAAGGAATCTGCAGTAACTGTAAGACTTTTAACTTGGACATCTTCGAAGCCCTGGAATTCATCGCAAATACATAGCAAAAAGTTAATTTCGTGCAAAAGTGGCGTCAAAAAGAGATGACTCAACTGTTCATTTTCAAAACACTCACTGTATAGCTGGAAATATTCTAGGCTGGGAATGTAGCGTGCATCTGTTGTTGTTCTAATTAGCCAACATCGCATTGATAGAACGGATTCGAAATTACACTAACCGTTCACCAAAAAGTTTCGCCACGCTAATTTTACCGGTTTCACATGAAAATCTCGCAGAATGAATGGTTATTTACATCATATTCTTCCCGATCAGAATTTTTCGGGGAGGTTCAAAGCAATTTGAGAGATGAGGCAGGGCGCTGTTTAGCTCTGAGGACAAGCATGGACGCGCAGACCCGCACGGCACCATATTCATGGGGTGCATAGAGCCAGTACCTGCTGTGGACGTACCACACTTTGCCTTTCTTAAGAGGAGATATTGCTCAAAAACTATAGAGTAGGACCAGTGCGATCCTCTGCGAAGCATCATCATCCACTTTCATACTTTCACCACTTTTTGCAGAGTCGTGGATGTGCTTAGCATCTCAGTGTGCAAGCCATGGGCTTTGCTCCGAAAAAGGGATCAAAAGTCTACTACTTTACAAAAACGACGCCGAAAAGTATTGATTGCTCGATGGTCAATTTTTCAAGATTTTACCTGATTATTTGAGAAGATTTTCGCACAGAGGTGTAGCCCACTATGTTTATTGTCCTTACGGCGACTACCAATCCATAAAAATTCCGAAAGCCTATTCGAATTTGCATCTGTTCTTCTAATAAAGATTTTATCCATGCGAAAATACCGACCTCACATGGAAAACCTCTACGATTGAGTAGTTGCTTACGAATTCGTGATAGCCTAAGCCTACATAGCGCGGTGAGTTTCAATGTCATTATTATGCGGGAATGAGTAACGCATACAGAAAATAAGGCCAGTGCGAGCCTCTGCGAAGCAGAGGTGACGCACTGGCCCTATTTTGCCCATATTTCGCACAAAGATGTAGCTCACGGTTATCATTACCTTTATGCTACCAAGCCATGACAAATCCAAAAACCTATTCAAATTTGCGTTTGTCTTTCTGCGAAAAGTTTCATCCACTCGAAATCACCGATCTCACGTGAAAAGACTTTCTAAATGAGTGGTTGTTTATATTTTATTCGTGGTAGTCGGCATAGCGCGGTGAGTTCCAGTGCCACGATTTTACGAGAATGAGTAAGGCACATAGATAGTAGAGCCAGTGCGAACCTCTGCGAAGCAGAGGTGACGCACTGGTTCTTAACAATAAAGCGCTAAGGGTCTGTCTGTTTGTCTGTCTGTGTGTGTATACATTGTCTATGTTTGTCTGTCACGAAATTCATAGAGCGTGTTGTAGTCAACGACTTGAGATGAAATTTTGGTCATGGCACCCTACCAGCATGTAGGTAAATATTGCAAAAGCACACGCCGATCCGATAATTGGAACCTTCAGAAACTGGGCGTCAAACGGGTCCACGCGACTTTTGACCGACCAATGTGGGTCGATGATTGTACTTTTTGCGAAGTTGTGGATTTGCTTAACAAGTAAAAGTGCGACCATAGGTTTAAGTCCAGAAAGTGAGCAAAATATCTGCTTTTACGCAAAATCAGCACTAAAAAGGAGTGTTTGCGTAGACCATCAATTTGTCAAGGTTTCATCTAATTTTTTGCACAGATTTCTAATCAGAAATGTAGGGGACAAAAGTAACTATCTTTTGCAAAAACTAATCGGCAATAATAACTTCAGTAACTGGCTGACATTCTCTTTTGATCTTCTACGCAAAAACTTTCTCTTCCCATTTACTGCTCCTACATGGAAAAGCTTATAAAATGAGTAGTTGTTTATAAATCGTTCATGATGGTCAGCATCGCATAGTGAGTTTCAAAGTGACATCATGCGAGAAAGAGGAATGCATATGGATAGAGGAGCCAGTGCGAGCCTCTGCGAAGCAGAGGTGAAGCACTGGTGATAGTTATATCACAGCAGTCATGCTTATGCATAGTTATATCATAGCCGAACATGTTTATACATGGCCTTTACCTTTACAGTAATCTAGCAGTAGGGGGAAATGCAACGAAAGGGTACCCCTATCATTGTACATTCCGCCGAGGATAAGAATGAAATGACGAGACAAACAATTTACAATGATCCAGTACCTGGAGCTGTGAGGAGTGCCATTTGTCTGCGTCTCGTAGTAGGCGTTGTTCTAACGACAAAGCAAAAATGAAATTTTGAAAAGATTTTCAAATGAAGACACCATGTTGTCGGAAGAGAGCGCATGATTGTGAATAGACGTATAGCTTATGACAAATTTCTGCGAATTTTTTTACTTCATAAGTTATTTGCAGGGTCAAGCGTGGGGTGTGGCACGCCACACCTGGGGGTCGTATTGAGGAGTCAAAAGGAGAGGGGGTCATAGTTGAGTAATCTGATAATAGTGATAACATGATATTCGTATCATATCCATAATTAGCATGTCATTCAACCCCTGTAGACAAAGTTTGAGCGAATTCTGAAGATTCAAGATACTAGGCTATCTAAGTAAAATGGTCATATTCCAACATGCTTGTCTTTGTTTCAAAATTGAATTAGCTATCCGTTTTTGCACTCAAGAAAAGCACTACTCCTTCTTTGTCCATCTCAGAAATCCCGCTTCAAAAGATTTCCAAACTGCGGAATTAGAAGCCAACCAAAATCTCATTTTTCCCATTTTTCGCTTTTAATGGCTGTGCTTTCACCAAATATTACTCAGAGCTAAGAAGACGAATCAGGCTTAAAACATTCCCATGGAATATACGAGGTTTAGGCTATCGATTCATATAAATACTGTTCGCTAAACATGTTTTTTGATATAGTTAGTGGGGTGTGGCACACTCCCCCCCCCCCCCTCCCCTAAAAGCTGTGGCTGCCACAGCTTTTAAGATTGCCACACCCCACTAACTATATCAAAAAACATTTTTAGCGAACAGTATTTATATGAATCGATAGCCTAAACCTCGTATATTCCATGGGAATGTTTTAAGCCTGATTCGTCTTCTTTGCTTTGAGTAATATTTGGTGAAAGCACAGCCATCAAAAGTGGAAAATGGAAAAAATGAAATTTTGGTTGGCTTCTAATTCCACAGTTTGGAATCTTTGAGCGGGATTTCTGAGGTGGACAAAGAAGGAGTAGTGCTTGTCTTGAGTGCAAAAGCGGATAGCTAATTCACCTTTGAAACAAAGTTAATTATGTTGGAAAATGACCATTTCACTTAGATAACCTAGTTTCTTGAATCTTCAGAATTCGCTCAAACTCTGCCTACAGGGGTTAATTGACATGCTCATTATGGATATGTTGCCCATTATGTTTGACAGGTCTTCAGGTAATGCTATCTTAGGTATATAATTCAGGGGGGGGGTCTTATTAAGACAGCAATCAGGGGGGGGGGGGTCGTAACCAGCGATCGCGTGCCACACCCCTTGCTTGACCCTGATTATTTGCATTATTTGATGAAGATCGCAGTTTCGCCTTTTACCACTCCTTCTTTCGCACCGAAGACGCGATTTCTCAACATGTCGACCACTTCTGACCTTTATATATAGAGCCAGAGGCAGATCAAGAGCTGCGGTTGCCTTGCGGTTAACGTATTGAATCCACTTCGCTGTATTTGTCATCTTGATTGTCGCTTTTGATTCTCATTTGGTTATTTTCTGACGTCAGCTGTCGTTCGCACCTTTCAATCCTTCCAGTTCTTCTTTACGCACTCAAGCTCTAGACAAAGTTGGCTTCAAATAGTCTCTGGGCCCCAGTCTGGTAAATATCCCTCCACTTTCTAGTCTGTGTTGTCCTATCTTTGCATATTTATCCTAATGTGCAAATGAATGGGTATCTGTAGCAATTTGTGCACCCTCTTTGTCCAGTCCGCCATCAGTTTCTTGGTAATTTTGCACTTTTCGCTTGTATATAACTATAACTTCTCTAGAACGTTATTTTGACGTATGAAATGCAAGCCAATGGTAATACCCGGTAGGCCTGTAGTGCATGCAGTTTGTGAATGCATTCGCTGTTGGTTTATCCTCTGGAAATTTTTCTCACCATGATTCGCGTAGATACTTTCGTGATAGTTCCGCAAGTTTTGGCGAATATCTTCAAATCTCCGGAGATGCAGAGTCATCATACTCCATTGTGGCTTCTGTTTTCTGTCTTGGAAGCGGAATAGGGTATCGGCCTCGTTTATCTATGCACGACGTTGCAGTTTGTCTGCTGGTGTCCACAGTACACATGGCTTGGCAATATTGTGACAGTCGACTAATCCGGGAGCAGTGGTAGAAATCTGTGGATGTTAGGCGCAATTAGGTAACCCATCGTACATGGTGAGACAAGAGAGTTATAGTGTGTACGCCGGCCAGCTTCGGTATGTCAATTCACTACAACCTTCGTCAATTCAGGAATGCGAAAAAGTTCTAAAATATGGAGTGAAATCAGGGCATCCCAGATTCTTCAATCAGGTAGTCCTATAATCAAAAAAGACAAATTTTCTGTTGCTATGCCCAGAAAGCTCTTCTTCAAATTAACGACTTTCAGATATCATGTGGCCTAGACTTGGTGGGAATGGCCGGAGAGTGGCTGACTGCAACAGCTAATACAAACATGTAGGTATTTGATTAGCATAGTAATAATTCAAAAGATGGCATCTGCCAGAAGTAACGTCATAAATGATGAAATAATGCTTTATTCAATTTCAATTTAAATTTCAATTTTACTTTAATTTCTTCAAGAACTTCGAATAATCGATAAGCATCATTCAGGTTTACTTACGAAATTTGTCCTGTGTACATACTCATGGAAAATGCAGTGTTGCGGCAAATGTACAAGTGTGTTGGATGGAATCCAGATACAAGTGATGGCATATTTGCCCCAGGTTCGGTAGTACAAGCCCATTTGTAGTGATTATCAATTGCTTAGGATTTACCAAGGCCCAGAGAACCCCGGCACACAGATCCCTATCTCTACTTTCAGGTGGAACGATATCAAATCTCTATGGTCTACTCGTTGCAAGATATGCGTTTGACCCTCGTGGCAAACAGCTGGGTCTCAAAGAACTGCCGAAGTTGTGCTGTTTCACTAGCGCAAGTGTAGGGACCATAAACTCCTGAAATTTTGAGGAGATATCTATGCAGACTTTTCAGAGCCACTTTTCGATCAAAAGTGCAGCTGCAGTTTGTGGCATCGGTACGGACAACTGCTTTTACATTCCAACCGACGAGCGTGGCAAAATGATACCGGAGCTGCTGGAAAAGAAAATTATAGAGTGCAAAAACAATGGTTCGTTGCAGGAGGGGTTTTCATGCACTTACTGGTTGCAAGACATTTGGCATGAAATCCACACAACATAAACGTTCTTGTAAGCAGATTTTGTTAGTGCTACTATGTCGTAGCAGGATGATAATGAAACAAATTTATTGTTGCTCAACGCTTTGTTGGTGCGCCTTACTCAAAGACTCGGAAATGCAATATATTTGATCAAACACTCTTGGCTATCAAACGGTTTTCCATATTTGTATGCTTGACTTGTCTTTTCTGGCGGTAGTAACAAGTTCTCATCTGCCACTGTTCCATAAGAGAATGGCTCTAGTTAGCCAATACTATTCTAAAGAAGTGTTGACAATAAGCTATCCGAATACTTAGGACACGCTTGCGGTAGACTGTTGTAGCTCGCAGTATGGTACAAACGACTTCAAGTCATTTGTGATGGCCAGAAAATTATAGGATCTTTTAGTGGCTTTCTGAGCCGAAATATATTCTTGCGCACTCTTTCGCAATCTTCTTCATCATGATTATCCCTTCTTTTTCTCAATAGACTAACGAGGAGCTTTTTTTACTTGCCAGACGTTAATTTTTACGCATAGACTGTTGCATGATGAAGGCGCAATATCTTTGGGAACGAACGCGGCTTTAGTAGCCGCAGAGCACATGAGGCGCAGGATTTACAACGGTAAGGGTACGCGCGCGCCGCGTTCGCGCCCGTTCAACTGATGCTTCTGCGCCTTCGTCAGCAGTAGCCTACGGCAGCCTTTATACTATGTGGCCGACCAGTCTCTCCTATGCATTTAATGGCATGACAGGCTGATTTCAGACGATTTCAACCACTTCAATGAACAGTTTTGATTTTTCGTACCAAGACTAAGCATTAGTCCACCTACATGCTCGAAATACCCGAAGTTCTCCTATACCAAAATAAGGAACAAAGTGCGTTTTGAGGGCTCCATCCATTCTTTGTTTGCGCCACTTGTGGAACGACGGTATACGGGGCGATGGATCCATTCGAAGAAGTAGCCAACATCTGTAAGAAACATAAGATTTGGTACCACGTTGATGTGAGTCTTTGCGTTGCTTTTAAATTATACGTCGAGAATGGTGCAATCCAGGCTGCTTGGGGCGGCGGATTATTCCTATCGCCGGAGCACCACGATAAACTCAAAGGCATTTCGCGTGCGGATAGCATCACTTGGAACCCACACAAGTTGATGGGCGCAATGCTGCAGTGTTCCGCTTGCCTTTTCCAGAAGAAGGTAACTCACTTTCCGAGGAATGATAATGTCGAAATCCCACCGTCAGGGCTTGCTTATGGACTGTAACAAAATGAAGGCAGATTACCTCTTCATGCAAGACAAATTCTATGACGTTAGCTATGATACAGGAGATAAGTCAATACAGTGCGGAAGACATAATGATGTATTCAAGCTATGGTTGATGTGGAAAAGTAAAGTGAGTATAAGAACATGCGGTGAGGGCCTTCCAAATTACCCGTGAAATAAAGTGCGGTTCATAATTATACGAACACCCAAAATTCTGTAAGTTTTCGGACTTTTTGGGAGAAACTCAAAAAGCCGTTGGTACCTCGCGATAGAACACGGCCGAAAACGGTATATGATCCATAGAATGGAAATCCATGTCAATTGTAGGAGAGTTTTTGCGCCTAATGCGAATTTTTAGCGGTTCATAATTATACGAACACCTCAAACAAAGGTTCATTTTTCATTCAAGATTGCAATCGTTTGAGTCCAAATTTTTTGTTGAGTTACAGCAACAAAGTCCGACATATCTGCTACAAACTGAACCCAGTGCAGTTTAAAACGAGGCGTTACTTTTTTCAGAAGGCTCTAAATGCTTTTGAAGTGATTGGGCTCCAAAAACATCCGTTCTTCTGTGATTTACGAGCTCTAATTAGCTTCTACCAAAGCTATGAGATAAAATAAGCTTCTTCGATAGGTATTTTGTTTGACGCTTGGAAAATCTTTGCGTTTTCGTGCCGTTTTTCAACCAAGTTCCAACCTTACCACAGAGTTAGCACGATTTCGAGCCTTAAAACTCAGCTTCTCTCTTGCGCAAACATTTGATATGAAGCAGCTGCATTGCTTTCATGATAATGTTTCTGTGCCAAAGTTTTTGGGTTTTTTCTAGAACTGATCTTGCGGCTGTGGAGCTACAAACCAAATAAAGGTGTGATTGCAATAGTAAAAACAGTATTTCTGGTGAAATAACGTCTGCGTGACCAAAAAAACGCTCAACGCTGCTGATTTTTTCTAGCCAAATATAAAGTCTTGTGAACTTCTGCATATTATATGCTTACTACATTGTACGGCTTCAGAAGCTGAGTTTTGAGGCCCGAAATCGTGCTAATTCTGGGGTAAGTTTGGAACTTGGTTGAAAAACGGCACGAAAACGCAAAGATTTTCAAGCGTCAAACAAAATACCTACCGCAAGAGCTTATTTCATCTCATATCTATGGTAGAAGGCTAATTAGAGCGCGTAAACCACAGAAGAACGGATGTTTTTGGAGAGCAATCACTCCAAAAGCATTTAGAGTTTTTGAAAAAAGTAACGGTCCTCTTTTTAAAATGCACTGGGTTTAGTGTATAGCAGATATGTCAGACTTTGTTACTGTAACTCTACAAAAAATTTGAACTCAAATAATTGCAATCTTGAATGAAAAATGGACCTTTGTTTGAGGTGTTCGTATAATTATGAACCGCTAAAAATTCGGATTGGGCGCAAAAACACTCCTACAGTTGACATCGATTTCCATTCTTATGAATCATATACCGTTTTCGGCTGTGTTCTATCGAGTGGTACCAACGGCTTTTTAAGTTTCTCCCAAAAAGTCCAAAAACTTACAAAATTTTGGGTGTTCATATAATTATGAACCGCACTTTACGTCTTGAAGTTTTTGTACGTGGTCTTTGAGATAAATCCATAGCAACAAAATTCAAAATTATTCTATTTTTCATAAATCAAGAAATGTGCAGAAAACCTAAAAACCTTCCAAAAATTGTTTAATCTGCTAAACCAATATCATGCCACTCCATTCGATAATTCATGAACCGCACCTACGACTCAGCATGAGGTGGCTTTGGCAAGTTTTGGAACGAAGTTTCCGTTAACTTCGCAACGAGAATACGACATCCCCTTGAGCTAGTAAATGGATCACACAGCAATAAAGAAGAATACAAAAGAGTACGAGAACAACATGAAAAACAAGATTAAAAAGATTATTACGTTTGTATCCTTATGGCAGTATGCTGTGTCCCGCGCGCACCATCGCGCGCTTGGAGCAGGGTTGTTGCCGATGTTCAAACTCTTTGGAGGGCTGTAACTAGGTTGGGAGGAAGTGGTTTGGGGAAATTCAAAATCTATTTGTAGGGTTTTGGATGTAGATTAGAGCTATGAAAAAGATTGAAAAGTTTGGGAAGAGAGGAAAGCTTACGACTTTTTAAAGCCATCTCAAGTCACCTGACTGAGAAAAAGGGTTCCCTTAACCCTTGCCGTAAGTTCACATTCTATTTTCATAATTATTCACACATAGCCACTTCTCCTTACCCCTTTCATACATCAATTCATCAATTTTGGTGCCATATCATTTCCTTTTCGCTGTAAACTAGAAACTTGCTAATTTTAGAGAACATTTGAATTCCCGCTCTTGCACGGAGCATAGTGGAGCGGGAAGTTTTGCTTTTTGCAGAGAGTGAGATCGGTAGGGCACTGATGACCACTTGCGTCTTCTCATATAGATGAAAGTGTGGAATAAAAGAGGACAAAAGTGATTGGGGAGGATGAAAACTGGAAAATTTGTTGGGTTGGAGAGCATGAAGTTAGCCTATTACGCTAAGTTCTGATACTCGCTCAATTTTTGAAGATACGTTTTATTACCCTGCGTGATCCGAAAGTTCTTTTCAAAAATTTCCATGTCCTAGACCCCATTTCGCACGATGCGGTTGGAATTGCGTGCACAATGGTAAGCTTACATGTATTTTTTCCCAGACATTGTAGAAGTGACATTTCTTTTGCTTTCATCCTCAAAACGATATCTAGCCTGCTCGTAAGTCACCAATGCCGAGCCGTGGTCGCACACCTTGACTCCCCCCCCCCCCCCCCAACAATCTCACTCCCCCACTAAGTATACGGTAAAAAGACAAATGTTCCTGTTTACGTGTCTCTTGCACGTATTGAAGGTCTCCAGATTTCTTTGCCGAGACAGGAGCAGGGCTCGGCATGAGGTGGCTAGTTGAAAATGCAAAAAACGAAGTCCCTCTTGACTTTTGCGAACTTTTACGAAGTCCCCTTTGACCCTAGACCAGGGCTCGGCACGAGGTGGCGTCCCGAAATTGCAAAAAAGTCCCCTCTGACTTCAATGAAATTACGACATCCGCCACGAGATACTCGAAGACTAAATACATGAAAAGGAACGGAACAAAGCAACAACAAAAAAAACGAAAAAGAATCATCGAACACACGCGATGATATTCATATCCTCCGGATTGGCGGCATGATGTATCCATCGTGCAGCAATACGCGCCTAGAGCAGCTTTTCCGCCGGCATTCAAAATTTTCAAGGGGCTATAACTAAGCGGCGAGAGGGGGGTTTGAGGCGGTTTAGAAACCAGTTTGTAGGGTTTGGGATGTAGATGAAAAGTATGTAAAGAAAGTAGAAAAATTATGTGAGTGAGGAAAAATTTATGACTTTTTCTTCCCTAGGCCACCTCAGGTGGCTATCCAGGTGGCTTCAAAGCCACCTAACTCCGAAAAAAGTTGAGCACGCCTTTAGTTCACATAATTTTTTCATAAATTTTCATACTTAGTTCTAACTATCCATTGCCCATCTACACACCTATTTTGGTGCCATTTCATCATCACTTCGTTGTAAACAAACCCTTTGTTTATTTGCTGGTGGCATGCCGGCAGCATGCCGGTTGCAAATCGAAAGACAACGTTATGCTCTTCCGCAAAAACGATATCCTCTTTGCTTTTTCCCCAAAAACGATATCGAGCTTGCTTGCTAAGCCACCTTTGCCGTGCCCTGGACAGGAGCTGGCTGAACTTTCTTTTCAGGGCATGGAAGGCTACAGAGAACAAGTCAACATGCTCATGGATCATTCCGCCTATTTTGCTAAGAAAGTGAAGGAAACTGAAGGCTTTGAGTTGATAATGGAGGTTTGGCTAGAAACATTCTTCAAGTATTACGAGACTAAAAGTTGTAATTTTAGCCGGAGTTCCTGAACGTGTGCTTCTACTATGTTCCAAAGAAACTGCGAAATCTTAGTAAAGAGGAGAAGTATAAAGCATTGGATAAGGTACCAAGAAACTATACTTACTATTGCTAGAAAAACTAAACCTGCGATTTCAATTTCAGATTGCTCCTGCAATCAAAGGGGAAATGATGAAGCGTGGTTGGACAATGGTGGCTTATCAACCAGAAAAAGATCGTGCAAAGTTCTTTCGCCTGATTATATCAAACCAAGCTATCAGACGCGAGGACCTTGACTTCTTAATGAAAGAAATTGCTTTAATTGGAGAATCCCTCTAAAAGTACTAGTGCCAAAATTCATGCAAATTTGATTCCCTCTTAAAAAATACTTGTGACCAATCGTCTAATCTTGCCTACTCGTAGTAACCCGTACTTGTACTCACTACTTACCTACTCACGCCTGTAACACACAGAATATCTCAAATAAAACTCTCAGACAAACTTTGTTTGGCTCCAATCAGCTTCTAAGCTTTTTAAGCACCACCTAACCTCTCAAGGGTTCACTAAAAGTAGGGCCAGAGACTTTATCCCAGGTACTGAATAACTCAAAGGCAGCGAATCAAATTAAAATAAAATATCGCTAACTTTTCATGGAACAAAGTCAAACTTGACCTAATAGCCCGCGTCTTCAAATTTAACAAGGCTCTCCCGGAGTTTTTTTTTCATTATATAGCTTCTGTCGGTCATTATCCGTGCTTACCAGTTATCAGTCTCTGTAGAACTCTCCCCTCTTCCAATATTGTGGCGATGAAGCTGTCACAGTATTTGGCGATCATTTTCAGCCGTGATAGCACGTCACATTGCATAAGCGGCTGCGAAGTGATCGAGTTTCCACTTCCTTGCCAAATGCGGTCGTGGGCGATCTCATTGCCCTCACGGATGATTTCCGTTTCAGAGATCTTAGCGTATTATTATTCCATGGGCCAAGCAGCTCAAATTAATTAGCAGTATTATGATGTTGTTCATTAGTTGATCTCCTGTTGTTGACTGACAGTGAAAGTGAGTTAGTGAGATAAAACGAAGATGACGTCACAACTAAAGGCATACCAAACTATTCCGGGAGTAACAACCTCAAAAAGTATGCTTTTAGAAGCCGGATCTCTGTTTCATCAAGAGCGTCGTAAAGTGTTTTAGCGGGGTCCACGTCTGCTAGTTTGCGATGAAAACGGTAACATTTCGTAGACATCTTTTTATAAGCGAATTTTACTTAAAGGTCTGATATTTTCTTTAACAAGTCGTTCTTTTAATGTACGAAAAGTCAGGAAATTAATTCAAATTTCTCACTTGAACTTGATCCGGGACTCTGACAAGAAGTAATAGTGGTGATGAGAGTTGTTATTCACTAGGTAATGTTCTTGTTAATCATTAGGTAATTAACTGCGTACAGAGTTTATTGGGTTTTTTAAGGTGTAACAGGATTTTAATGAAGGTCACCATCGGACATATACATATTGCAGTATAACAGCCCTACTCAAGAATAAGTTAGTGCTGCCAATGGAGGCACACGATCTTCAGATCTGGCTTAGTGCACCTAAGCCAGTGATTTATTTTGTTAGAGGTTGGTTTGAAAAACGATGGCTTACTCTACGTGGATGGGCCCCAACAAATGGTGATTCAATGCATCTTGCACATCAAGAATTATCCTATTCGATATCATCTACTTCCGCGTTTTCACACATATCTGTTGCTCTTTAGCTGCTATTCGCGTCATGCCAAACATCTATAAATGGGCAAAACTTTTTCATGTCTCTTCTGCCGCGTGCATTTCAGCATATATCCATCAGATGTCAAGTGAAGCACCGACAGTAAAATTCAAGAAACTATAGCATAACCTCAACAATGATAGCTATAATCAAGCTTTCTACTTGTCCAGAATAAAACGTAAAAGCAATCGAGTAAGATTGACTTCATCGGAAAATCTAAACGATATAAAGAGATCAATTAAATTCGGTGAAATTACTAACATTCAGATTTCTCTAGCGTTGGGTTTCGAAAAATTCAGTTTGCGGATTAATGAGTATTCAGACGTTTCAAAATCAGCTACAACTTTGGCTGGCACCAACAGTCAATTGAAAGATATGAAAAGAATACGTTAGAAAGCTTGTTTGATTCAGAATTCAGAAAAAAAAGGAAGAGATGGGGAACAGGCCTGAGACTAAGGAGCATTGCCCCAACTTTGCCATAATCGAAATGTTTGGTGTAAACTACATTGACAATGAGATGTCAAGGGTCGGGCATACATCACGCGATTTTATATCCTCGCAATTCCTCCAACAGGATAATTGCATGCTGATTATCTTGATGTCGGCTGTGTTAGTCATTCACGTTTAGTCGTATCGGAAAACTATCACGAATGCAAGACGATCTGCATGCAATGAATTTGTAGCAGTTGTCTTGTCGGGTGAATCGCGAGGCGATGAAATCGCTTCATGTATGCCTGGTCCTTCAAATGCCAAGTTCTAACTTGGCAGTGAGATTGAAACAACTAATAAGATTTCAACAATGAACTTGATAAGCAACTGGTCGTCATATAGGTCAGCAAAAGTTATTTTTAAGCAGACTGAGGGTTGTTTAAGTCGCTTCATTGTTGTGTGAAAGCAAGCAGCCACAAGTTTTTAGGTTGACCAAATGTTCAAAATTACCCGCAAAATGAAAGAATCTTGACTATTGTCTATTGCAGCAATGGCGTTAACAAATAGCAAAAATTCGTACGATTTATTAGGTTAACAGTCAAAGCAGGAAACAACATCTATTTTTGTCGGATAGCGCGAATGTAGATCAAAATTAGGTTTCTTTGCAGTTTTTCTTCTTGCAGTGGTAACTTTTTCTACTAAAAACACCTATTAAAAATGAGCCACTTTACTGATGTACTGGTTTTGGAGTTGCCTAGCATTAATTTTCTGAAAATCAAATTCATACTATGCTTTTCCCGAACTGATCATGCCGTCCATGCAACCGCTTTCCGATCTCAATTCTTGCTTTTGATACTTCAAAAAAAAACAACAATTTACCAGGAAGTCATAGCGGTCGAAAAAAAACTGTAAAATGCTTCTTCGCACGAACTAATGGATCATAGTTTCGAGTCATGGCTAAATCTGTCATCCTACTAACCATGTAAACGATATCTTCAAATACTTGGCATGAAAATGGTTGGGTTGAATAGCCTCATATGTTTTTTCACAGCTGTACTGCAAAATAGAGCTAAGTTCCAACCTTTATTCATCACTTGGCTTAGCACTGGACAAATTTATCTTTTGCAACAGTAGTTTCTAAAAGGTCCATTGAGCATGAGTCGCATTCTCATACCTGGAAAAGCTTTAGCTTATTTTCTTTTTAAGAGTCTTTTGCTCCGATTTCGCATCTGGAAATGTGGGGGCCCTTTCCGTTATTTCCTTTTTCTGCTTTCAGCGGCAAACGTCAACCTACGTATTTGTGAAAAACTTTTTCTGTCTACTCGACCACTATGAGAGGAGAAAACTCGTACCTTAAATAGGGCAACTATAGGACCTCATTTTTCAGAACGAAGAAATAATGATACGTGTCCAAAGAATGTCCTGTGAGCAACTAATCATTTTGTAAAGGGTAAGCTTGAAAAAATGAGCACTTTCAATCAAGAAATTCACAAGACAACATTGCTGATCTGAGTAAGCATTAAGCGCGTATGATTTGTATCTACTCTAGTCAGACAATAATCCAGTTTCCATCTGGTTAAAAATACATCAAACTAATGTCAATTATACAGAGAGAACACTTGACTCGATTGATGATTTGACGAATTATCTTTGCAAGGTTACTTAACTTTGCTTCTCCAATTATTTCCTGCCTTTTGAATGGATTTTCTGACAACTAAAAGTGAACGTTTGCCTATTTTTGAGTTCTGAGCAATGTCTGAGATTTACTTTGAACTTGTCATCAGGCTGATTGGATAGCTGATTCTTTCGTGAGCTGTGCACAAAGTGCTTTTTCGCTGTACAATATGATTGTCTCATATTCATGGAAAGAAATCTACATCTTTCATGCAAAATTAAGAATTTAATTATAATTCAAATTCACAAATTAAGATAAATTTATCCCGTCAAAAAATCATTGCATTCATGACCTACACAACCATTTCAAAAAATTGTGTAAGTGGCAAATCTAATTGTTATCTGGATCCAATCGACTAATCGAAATAACAGAATCAGTGCAGGCTTTTAGGGCTGCCTTTTCAAAAGGACCCTTCCCCCATGTAGATTGCGAGTAATCACCTAAATCTCTTTGTTAAAATAAATTAGGTCATCCCGAAAGTTCTTTTGCACAATTTTCAAAAATTTAACTTCTGATTTTTCTAACCGATTTTAGTGCTTCCATTTCTATATGAGAAAGTAACTCATGCTCTTTTCAATAACTTCTTAGCTGTTACTAACGATCATCTATTGCATAGATAGGAGCGATAGAAAAAAATTAGTCAAAATTCGAATTTGTATAGGGTCATAAAAAACCTGAGATTTGCATTAAAAATCTGTGCGGTTGGTATTATAGCTTCTGTTACCTGCTTTTTCTAACTGTGCAAAGCTTGTGCTGATTGAACATTTCTATGAAACGCTATGATTTTCGAGCAAGGAATACAAAAAGGCAATTTTAATTTATTTTGGCATTTTTCTCATGAATCATAACTATTGATAGAGTCGCTCAATCAGCACAAGATGTGCACAGTTAGAAAAAGCAGGTAGCAGAAACTATAATACCAACCGCTCAGACTAATGCAAGTCTCAGATTTTTTATGACCTTACACAGAAAATTCGAATGTTGACTAATTTTCTTGTACCGCTCTTATCTATGCAATAGATGACTATTAGTATATTCAGAGACATTTTGACGCTAAGACATTTTTGTGAAGGGCATGATTTACTCTATCATATAAAAATAGAAACAGTCAAAGCGGTTGGAAATATCAGAAGTTATGAATTTTTGAAAATTATGTGAAAGAACTTTCGGGACGACCTAGTATTTCTTCCTGCTGCTAGCACTGCCCTCTGGAGAAAAGGTCGAGTTTCAATCCTGATTTTGCATTTTACCTTGAAAGATTTAGAACTTTGAAATAGCTATTTTTGTGCGGCTTGTGGCAACACGATATAAAATAGCGGTTACATAACTACTATCAAAGAATGTAGTCCTTCAATGTGGGGGTTTTTATTAAAAAGAATATTCTGCTCTCCGGCCTTTGGTGACTCGCTCGTGGGAGCTACTGGTACAAATAAATATGTCATGCAGAATTTAGCTATTATGGCCGTTCATGTTTTATCTCAAGCTATCTTCAAAAATGTAACGTCCTATACTATGCAATTCCTCGTTTTTCGTGCTCTGAGCTGTTTTCTACGAGTAGATTTCAGTATGGCAAAATTAGAAAAAAGTTTGAACGCTCTCATCCGAAAATGATGCCTATCATTTCAGCTCGTCGTCATTTCCTTCTTCATCTTTCCAATCCATTTGATGGAGGCGTAACGGAGCTTTGCTGCACTATCCGAGTAGCAAGAAGTACCATAACTGGCCCAAGAGATCAAATTCCGCGTTTCGTCATCGAGAGAGGGTGGAGACACCTCCGCAACCTCATTCATTCATTCATATATAGCGTCTTGACCAAACTCGTCGTCAGTCGCTCCACCCCGGAATGGCCTTTCGAGCTGCCAGCCTTGGCCTTCTGATTGCCTGTGGTTAGTATGAATACAATTCTATGAAAAATCATTCTTCATGTGATTGAGGCGGAGGGTGGGGGGGGGGGGGGGGGAGTGAGAGAAATTTCGCACCACTTTGATTTTGTAGGCCTTCCCAGCTCAAGATTACACCTAGTTCACGCCTACTTCACACTTCTTGTTTCTCCAGCACATCCGAGATAACGCACAATTAAGCGATGACCAAAAATCGCAAGCTCTTGCACCAAAGTTTCTAAAATTCCATAAACTCTCCCCATTCAAAATTATTCTGGAACTGATATATTGAAGAGAGTAACTCGTCAGCTTTCTGGAATTGCCCGCACGCAGATTATTGTTGACAAATTTTTGTGATACGCGTTGTTGCGAAAACACTTTGTCTGTACTTTAAATTCGGAGGTTGACATTGGCAAAACGCTCAGGAACAATAGTTCTTCTCTAATTTTGGACCTAATCTTCTTACACAAAAAAATCGCCCCGAACTACGTCTCCAAAAAGCCATAAATCTCGAAATTTTTTTGTACGACACCTCGGTATCGTCAAAGATTTCCAGCGCAAACAGTACGCTTGAAAAATAGATAAGCTACCTACATAGGAGGAAATCCATTGTAATGGAACCTTCAAACATTTCCAATATTTTTTTATAATGTTTTGTTACAAGAATTCTGTGGGACGACCTAACCTAAAAAAGTTATTTGAATCTTTATTTAAGTGAATGAATCCCCGTCGTTTATGTTCTTGGCTATGGTCTTGGAAAATCAGAAGCGTTTTGAGCATCATAGAGGAGTTATAAGAAATTTATCACAGTGCTGGAGCCACTGACACCGCGGCTACAAAACGTGGTTGAAAATATCTCTAGTTTACGACTACAATCTGCTATTATATGTTCTCTGCTCCACCGGCTCAGGGGATTTGATTGAAAGTTATTATAAATATTTGCTACGCTCGTCATCAGTGCATTACATAATCATTACAAATTATTCATTCAGTTTTCACACTATAGATGTGATTTCTAAAGTCATGGTAGTATTGTTTGCAGTTAATGGAGCCACTGCGCAATGTGGGTGCTGCCTTGATTTATTCTGTGTTCTAAACGATGTGTACATAGTGTGAACGTTTGAAAGAAGTTATAAAGCTTTAAAAAGCCAATTAGGTAATTTCATTTTTGAATTTTTTGATCTGCTAACATTTCACAGTAAAGTGACCGAAGATTGCTAAGTGTCATTCAATTCAGCTTCCTGGCCTTTTTCTGATAGCTACCTTTCGTTCTGAATATACCTTTGCATTTATTCTCTAGCATTCGAGAACCCTCGCCGGTCTCGAGCTTTTGAAAGTGATCTAGTAGTCAAATGCTGCAAATCGTCTCTACTTGTAGACAGTTGAATTTCTTTTCGAAATCATTCTAGCCTTATGGTCACAAATGATATTTCTCGCATAGCCGCTAATGCAACCACTCCGACCTCTAGACGAATGTGTTTTTCAAAAGCAATATTTTGCAATGTACATCGATTCTTAGTGAGCACCTACCTCTATATCTTTTATACTTCGTTTTATTTAATCTAGTGTTAACGGCAATATTCGTTCAAAGCAAGTATCTTGCGAAAGTTCCCATTTATTTGTTAGAAGTTGATCCAACAAGATTTCAAAAGGAGAAGGAAGCAACTGAGACCAATTTGGCGTCATGCTCAACAACTACTACTTGTTGTTATCTTCAAGTACACAAGAACTGACCCTCAGTTATTGGTGCTCTTGTTTTTATTACTTTTGGTGAAGTTGCTCGGTAATAGCCCAAAGCTGGTTCAATTAGTTTTTTACAATGCTAAGTGCAAAATGCGGTATGTCGTTAACCACAGAAATAAGCTTTTCTTGATTGTCGATGAAAGTTGGATAACTGAGGAAAGCACCGTTTGACTTATTGTTTGTGAGATATGATGTGAGCGTCCTTCATTGCTTTGATTCAAGAACTCTATCAAAGCCAAAAGATTGGACTAAAGCTAGAAGTTTGGGAATATATGTGATTTTTTTGAGAGGATGACTGACGTCGATTCTTTTTTTTACTTAAATCTTTTTTATCTCAGTAATGTGCTCAAGAGAGCCGCCAGTATGTTTTTGCAGAATACATAGTTTTGTCTTTTCAAGATAATCGATTCTGAATAAGTCGAACAAGTTGGAAGGAGGCTAATCACTAAATTTGGTGCGAATGAAATTTTAAAATGTTGCGTTGTTACAAATTGATGTCCGTTTATCTAGGCCTAATTTTCGAACCATTTTTTCATCAAACTTCTGTTTCGACATAGATTTGCATATCACTGGAACTTTCTTTATGTATTTTCTAACGGTGTTACAAATAATCCTCTTTCCTCATTTGTGAGAATTTCATCAGCATTTTGCCCACACTCACTCCAAATCGAAATTTCTTTCTTCCACTTTTTTGGCCACATTTCAAGTGCAGATGACTGGATTCTTTTGAAAACGCAGCTACTGTATGGGATAGATACTGTTTACCCATTGCATGCTTAAATGTAATTTTTAGAAAATTATTTGGAGTGAGAATTGGCGCCCCAAAATAAATACTCGTTTCTGACATTCTATGGGTCAAAAATTTCATCTGATTGAGGCAATCGCCAAAGCTTCGCTCACTGCAAGCTTGGAAGGACATCTTGCGTACAGTTTTGCAGAAAAACTTAGCTGTAAGTACATAATTTTCATATTTTCACACTTTCGGACAATCACGCCATCCAAAAATAAGCTTAAAAGTGAACAATTTGGATTTTTATCCTTTCTTTCCAAAGAACTCTTCCGCTGAGGTCTTTTTATACTCACATATACTAATGGCTCGAGACTGCAAAAAAAGCTGATTACCAGTTATGACAACAGAACTTAGGAAGCTATGGTTTCTCAAAAACTAGTTGAAAAAACTTTTGGTTTGATGCATGGTTCCGTCATTTGCGGTATCAGTACGAGCAAGTGCACGCTAGGCTACGAAACGTTTACTGCATCTGAAGGTTTTGACTACATTCGAAAATATAAAGACTAGGCAACGTTATAGCTAGTCAAGTTGAAACTTTGCAAAGCGAACATTATTTCTGCACAAATTAACATTTCTTGTACTTGCTATCTGAGTTAGTGAAAGCAGTGGATGCGATATGGGCCGGGCATACTTCACGCGATTTCAGTCGTGACGTCGCGAACCGAACTGCACATGCACTGCATTGCACACTGCAGTGCACAACTACACATACTTCACGCACATGCATAGTGTGTATAACTTACGTAAACTGATGAAATGCCCTATCTTTCCTACAATAATGTGCTTACAATGAGTTGTGGACAATTGGAATATTGCCAAATCGCGTGAAGCATGCTCGGCCTCACCGCGTGTCGCCGGCGTGTCCATGGCATTCTAGCAAACGGCGGCATGCTAACCCGCAAAAACGATATCCTTTCTGCTTTCAGCCCAAAAACGATATCCAGCTTGACCCGGTGCCAGCTGTGCTGAGCCCTGGTTTCATAACATGCTCACTGCCTTAAGCATTGAGGCAGTGAGCATGTTATAAAAGCTACAGCACTTCTTTCTGCACTATATCTACAAATCTATCAGAAAATTTCTATTAAAGAAACTTTTCATCCATAAAAAACCGTGCCAATTCTCTTTTTAATGCCAATGAAAGAGAATTGTCATCTCTGCCAATTCTCTCCAATCCATTTCTGATACATACAAAATCTTTGCAAGCCTAATGTAGTCAACTTCACGTTGTTCCTGGATTTTGTTAGATCTTCAGGTTTTTACTAAAAACTTTGAGCTTCATTATACCGGGTGTCCCAAAAGTAAGTACACACTTTTCAATCGTTAATATCTCTCTTCCTATTGTGTCTTTTACCGCCATTCAACTACTATTCTATAGAGGAGGCTTCAACTTAGATCTATCATATCGATCGAATCACGTTCGCTCTTCGTTTCTGTAGGATTACGGTAAGAACTTCCAGCATGTGGAACCGTTGTTAAGTATGCCATCTGACAAAATTTTTTTCAAAAAATCTGAAAAATCGTGTGCTAGGGTTTTCGCACACGCTGATTCCATTACACAAAATCTTACGAGTGTTTTCAGCTTTTTTGACGGTGTAATCACATTTCTGACAGATACTGGGAGTTCGGTTATTACGGTTTACTTGGGATAACTTTGAAAAGAAGCATCACAGTAAAGTGGAAATTTCATATTCGAAATCAGCAGATTCCATTACCCTAGTATAAGAGTTTTTGGCTTGCTTGGTTTCGTTCCGAAGCAGAATATGGCTTTCAGTGGCCTAAAATCCTTGTCGAGGTTCCTACAGTAATCTTACAGTGACGACGAGCGATCGGTGATTCGCTCAATGCTGGAAATCTAAGTTGAAGCCTCCTCTATAGAATAGTGGTTAAATGGCGGAAAAAGACACAATGGGAAGATAGATATTAACGATTGAAAAGTGTGTACGTACTTTTGGGACACCCTGTATTTTAACATGCTCGTAAACTCCGTTCTGTCCACTGCTATACTTCACAAGTCCATCATTTCCTGATTCTTTGTAGTTCTAGCTGAACAATATGAGCCAAGATATTGTTTACGCTTTCCGTCTTCATTCTTACTGTGCTAAGATGTCTGCCGCCTAGCCCATTATCTTTTGTGGTTCTTGCGCACCCTCAAGCCATTCTACTACTTACTGTATGAACAACTAATCACTTCTCCCGCACAAGATCATATGCAACACCGCTCGAAGTTTCTGAGATAACGACGCAAAGTCGCTCGATTCATATGATATAACCGTAGCGTGGCCATATTTCGCTTGAGAGTGGATGAGTTCTTGATTCAAGGACACCGTTCGACTCAGCTCGGTGCGGCGCATTTTCTGATATAGAATTGCCGGACTGGAACACAATAGGAGGTCTGATTCCATTTCAGATTTCTTACGGCAGGTTCCCAATGGATGCAATGAATAAGCACACCGAGTAAATTACCGCAAGGAATCTGAAACGATTCGTGGAATTTGGCCTCCTACTATGTCCAAGCGGGCACTTCTATATATCAGAAGATGCGCCGTACCGAGTTGAGTCGAATGGTACTTTTGGATCAAGCATTTGTCCACTCTGAAAGGAGATATGGCAACGAAACGATGATGTCACTGAATCGGGCGTCGTTTTTTTCAAAAAGTACGGGCGGTATTGTATATTTTCGTCCTGCAGAGCATTTCTTTCTCTAAACAATTAATATAGGGTATCAAACTGCTGTTCTTACTTATCCACTTGTTATCGTATACTCTAAAAAAAGCGATCGCCGGACTCTCAAAACCATAGCGACAGCAAATATTCGAAACAAACCCAAAAATTTCCTGTTCATGTCTTCCTTCACACCTTTGCTTTGTCTCACAATAACTTCCTTTCACCCGTGCCCTGGATGTGAAATAGCATACAAAGTCTAATCTTTTGCATGCAGCATATAAAGACTTACCCTTTCTCTTCTACCCGCTCCTGCTTCAGCTTACCTTTTATATCCCCTGCTATTTACTCCCATTACCGTCACCTCATCCATGGGGCTGCATCCGCAAGGGCTCCAATGGGATATTATATTTTACTTCTTACAACCTCGATTCAAAACACGCTACTTTTCCATAAAGAACCATACTGCTATACTCATGCGAAGCTTTCGGAGATAGCTCGATGGAAGTCTATTTCGCTGCAGTAGGCGAAGAAAGTCAAATACGTAGAAGAAGGCGAATCGTCACGGAATTGCCTTGGAATTCTTCATTCTCTCATCTAAAGTAAAACAATTCTATCCCTCTCTGTCTTTATTTGAATTCTCATGAGCCTCACTTAAACTTGCAAGCAAGTTTTTAATATGCTGGTTTGCTGGGGGGAAACAGCTTCACGCTTTTTTACATTGGGCATCCTCTTACTTCCAACCTCTTAGAAGCTAAAGAGCTCAACCAAAAATCTTTTGACTCTTCTGACGTAATGAGGACTGTGAAGAGACGGGAATCTTTTGGAACACGACTGTTCTCAAATTTTCTCTCATTCGCCATAAGCTGGTGCTGCTTATGTCGAATTTGGATCAGTCGCTCAAAGTGGCGAGGAAGAGCAATTTATAGTGCAAAAGACACTAATGAAATGATGTTAGAAAACTATAAATGAAACCCTACAAACTCCGGAAGGTTTTCTCATTAGTCACTTCTATTTCAGTGTCGTTGGTTGCAGCACAGGATATCATGACGTGTATGTTTTGCGAAGTGGTCACGGAGGAACTTGGAAAAGAAGCTAGTGCTCTCGGCACAATACAGGGCATGTTTAGGCGAGTCGTTTCTTTGCTTTCGGCTGATAATGCGTTATTTCTACAATTTCTAGACGTTGTAGTCGAATGGGCCTGGTGAAACCAGTGTGTGACCGATTTATCGCCGATTACGCAAAGCGAATCTTCGCTCTTGCACGAGGAGGCGTGCCAACTCCCCTCATTTGTGAAGAGTTGAATCTGTGCGGCAACCGACGGTAACATCATAGTCGAAGGCGTAGAAATGTCAGAAGTTTATTTGTAATAAAGTTTTTCAGCAGTAATTCTAAAAACCCGCTATAAACAACTGAAAAACGCAAAAATTAGCTACAGTATAGAACAATAGAATGTGCAGCAAAATTCCCGGAATTTCGCGGATTTTCAGGAATTCCGCCACCCACATTCCTGGAAGCTTTGCAGTTTTTTAAGCAATATCGTATCTGATTTCCAACTTTGTTCAGAGGTCAGATTTGTTCTGTCAGTTGCAGTCCATAAAAAAGTAATGACTTTAGTGCAAGTTTTTCGTTCTGTAATGTCAGTAATGCATCTCGAGATTGATAAAACTCAAAAAATTATGATCGCTCGAGGTATGCGAGGTATGTAGTATGCCCAAGAGTAGTAGTCCTTGTCCTGAATATTTCGCTGTCAGTCAGTGTCTTGATAAAGCTCCCGAACCAGTCTCAAGTTTGGAATAGAGTTAAAAAAGTATTTGGTACATCCCAAAGGTGAAGGGAAACAAATACTAAGAGCTGCTGGAGAGTATTATTGAAAGATGCAGTTGTTTCTAAGGATCCTGCTGCATCTTGATAACACAATTTTAAATTGTACTGTATAGTTTGATTAAGCCTTGAAATATAGCTCAAGAAGGATTACCGAGTTCTTGAAGAAGTATTGGAACTTTGAACCCAATTGCACAGACCCATTTTATCGTAAGTTGATTAATTAGATTAATTGAAAGACATGTTGAAAAGAGGTCAAGTGTGTATTTGATCGAGATTGCCCAGCTACATATTATATGACTGCTACAACCACCATAAATGATTTGTCAATGACTATCAATACAAAATGAGGAATTCTGTGGCTGAAGATCCTAAAAAATCTTACTGAATTCACATTTCAACTTTTCTGAAGGTTGATTGAGTATTAATCTGGTAAGATCTGTGACCCATAGACTTATTCTATCAAAAACAATATAATGCACATAGAACTGACAGTTGACGAAATTAGTATTTATGGAACTGAATTTGCGAATGTCTCAAAAAGCAACTGGGCCATAAAATCCATATCTACGACCTAATCGCACCAGCATATAAAGATCGAAGTGCAAATTTTGCTTAAAAAGGATATAAACTGTTGCTGTAGTCAACATAAATCTTATACCGATTATGGCAGATCTAAGACGATTCCAGTTGTCGATAACTTGTTCTCGGATTGCATATCACCGGTGTTTCTGTGGAACGCATCGTCGCTCTCGACGTTCCGTTCCAAGCCGATCTTTTGTTATCTCGCAACTACACTGCTTCTTACGCAACGACAATCTTCTTTTCATACTACAGTAGCAGTAAACGAACATTTTGTCAGTACTACTATATTCAGCAATAGTTTCAATTATTCAATCATTCTACATCCATATGCAACCGCTTTAAGTATTGCTACTATTCCAGCTAATAACCGCTCAGAGCATTAAGGCTTCGTAGCGAAGCTCAAGAAGTAAAAAAAAAACAACAGTACGATAGTATCGTACACTCAAAAGATTACCATTTGTCCGAAATACAGTCTAGTTCAGGTCATATAACGCATCACATAAATTTTCTCTAAAAAAGAGGTTGTCTGCTCACATGTGTAAAAATATACTTAGCTCTTACCTCTCTTTAGCAGCCTCGGAGCCAAATTTTTGGTAGGACTTTGCGATAAATACATTTGTCGAAAATTGTCTTTGCCATGAAGAGGAGCTATTTCTCCTACATAGAACATCTTGCAAAGCTCACTTGTCATCATGATCCTAACACAGAAATTTCTGCGATGAGAAAATAAAAGCGGCTGCTTGCCTTGTCTCAACTCCAGCAGATCAACTCGGAAGATGATTTCGCTTTGGGGGTTAAAATTACCTTTTTTGGATTACGATGAGCACTCAAAGGGGGTAAGGAAGCATATTCAATAAGAATATGTTCCCAGAATGGAACATTATATTTTGTGATTAACACATTCACGACAATACGACCCACCGGTGGGTCGTAAGTTTGACAAAGCGAAAAAGGCTCTGGTCCGAAACGGCAGTAATCGAAAAATCGGCCTCGTCGTGAATGTGTTAAAAACGCCTAATATATTCAACTTTGATATCTGACAATCATTTATTGTTTATTTTCTTATCGGTTTCCTAAATTTTCTGCGATTACTTATTTGCCAGATCTGAATAAGGTATATGTGCGAAATTTGCACCGCTATTAGAAAAACCCACAGAGAAACATGAGGTCAAGGTTATATCTTATAATGCTCTAATCAAACTTTACTAAAGACGTTTTCCAGAAATCAAAAAACCCTGAATGGTGGAATTAGCAACTTAACACTACTGGTTTTCGAAAAAAGCAATTGGTTTCTATATTTTCATATTTTGCTCTGCATTCAACTGAACTCAAACCCTTTCTGATCCATTCCATGCTGACTTGTAGAGTACAATTTCTTCTAAGCAAAAAACCTAGTTTCCACGAAGTCTGAAAATGTATTCTCGAATCTGCATATGGGCAAAGGCCTCATGTTCAAAATAAATTTCGAGAACACAGAAACGATAAACTTCTTACATAAGAAGCAATTACCTACTTGGATATTTTCTGACATGTCTCAGACGCAGCAAGAAGGGCCATGTTTTTGAGCTTTTTCTTTTAAAAATTTACAAATTCCCTTCTGATCAACCTTCAAGATTTCGCATACGGTGTTAGAAGTAAATGCTCTTCTTTACTGATTTCAATGCAAAATAAAAGAATTTGAAAGAGATGTCGCATGAACTTGTAGAGTTGAGCCCGCGTATGGGGTACACTGCAGCTGATTAGAGAATTTGAGATTTTTTCGTGAGATGAAACAGCCAAAATCTGATTTGACTAAAGCATTACAATGTTAGTGGTTGGTGAAAACAGATGCAGGTCTCTGCTCCTCCGTAAAGCCCGTCTTGTATACTTTCTGCACTTGCAGAAGCACGCGCCAATTATTTTGGCTCACCCTACGTGGAGCCTCTTTCATCAAACACTTTATTCTGCATTGTTCCTGCATTGTAAAGAGACTTTGAACTCCATATCCACACTGTCTAACTGCAAGCCACAATCTCGCTTCCCTTGCATGTTGCGAAAGGAAATCCCTAACTGTTAGCCGCAAAGATAGCAAACAATTGTCTGACAATGAGGGAGATGACCAAATCAGGGAAAGCAAGTTGCATAATCCGATTTCGATGACCACGGCAGTGTTTCACCTTGCCCAGACAGGTGTCGCGATCTGCTTTTGTCCGCTATTCTTTCCGATTTCAGGTTCTTCCCTAGGGCGAGAGTCGTTACGCAACGACGTTGCCCGTTATGTCTTCATTCTTATCTTGCTTTCTAGTTTTCGACTACATAAAGCCGATTTCGCCTGACCACAGCAGAATTTTCAGAATGCGGTTACTGATGTGTAGTTTATTATTGCCGCTGGTCACAGCATCAGAAGCTCCACCGGTATCGAAAGGTTTACAGCCGGAAGACCTCACAGCATCGGAAGCTCCACCGGTATCGAAAGGTTTACAACCGGAAGACCACGATCTACTAACAGCGGGGACATCAACACATGCCACAGTGAAGGTAACGATCCTTTGATTTTTGTTCATTTCTTCTAAATCGATGATCAAGGAAAATATTAGAAACTGAAGATACGGTAGGATGCGACAAGTTTTCTCGAAAAATTCTTTCTGAAGCCCACAAACATGCAAACAGCAAAGAATTTGGTGTTAATCTAGTGAAATGTTGACTATTTAGGCCCGTGCCTTGGGGACCCTTCAAAATGAAGTCAGCGATCTCCCGGTAGTTTCTGGCAAAACACTGAATGATGACTACAGTGACTTTGCAGACGAACCAGTGAGGAATGGTGGAGGTAAACCTGCTTTATCGTAAATTCTGACAGTTACATATTGTTATAATAATCTCAACGAGAACTGAATATAATACATTTCTCTTGGGACTTTGTATCCTACTTATTGCGCGTGGTACAAAATTTACCCGAGACAGGCAGTAAAAGGCGAAAATCTCTAATTTTTCGTTGGTTTACGCTATCTGAGGTGGACTTTTCTGGAGCCATGTACAAAGCAGTCCCGTTCACTAATCTACAAAAAATTTTAACTACAATATGTGCCCTCAACTATTTTTCCAGCAAATCAAATGAAGTGACTTCCGTTCAAATGCAACGGAAATAAATAATGACTGAAAATACTTTATTGATTCGAAATCAACGCAACCTGGAGTGCTGATTTTTGTATGAAATCCAGTAAGTGGGAGGACATTTCACTCATTCAAGAAATTTCGCTCCTCAGCGACGGAAGTTTCTTGGAGAGTATAAATTTTCCTAAATTTGCAACTCATCTCTACGCAGTTACAAAATTAACTCATTACAAAAAACATGTTACAATTGTTTATTCGAATACATGCTCAAAAAAAGTTTTTCAGAAATAATGTTCGACAAAAAGTATCTCAATAACTTTCAAGTTACATAAAAATTAGGCTAACTGATGTGTTTTTCAAAAAAAATTTTATTAGTACGTAATGCGAAAATATTGCGCTAAAAACTCCTCTATTCTACGTTCAAGAAGAATCGCATCAGGGGGCGATATCCATCAAAAGGCCCGAGCATGCTTTACGCAATTTCAGTCGCGACGCGACTTGGCAATATTCCAACTGTCCATAACTCACTGTAAGCACATTTCAAATGTACGGAATTTAGGGCATTTTATCGATCCACGTAAGTTATACACACTATACATGTTAGTTTGCTGTTTGGATCTGAAGACTTCTGGCGAATTGCCAAATCGCGTCGCTACTGAAATCGCATGAAGTATGCCCGGCCCTAAAGTGTGATTGAGGCCGGATTCATAAATATTAAGTTTCGTTCAATCTATTTTCTTAGATTCACTACATTGACAAAATGAGAGAAATTTGCTATTAGTGTCACATGATACACAATTTCTGCACATTTTCAGCAAATCATCAACTTAAGATGGTAGAATATGTGCCGATTGCGAAAAAGTACGATATTCCCAGGCCAGAGCCAGAAGACTCCGATGAAGATGATACTTCAAGTAAGTTTGGTTATTTTTCTTGGGTTGAAGATGTTAGCATATACATTTCTTTTCTGAAATCATGTTATTATACTAGATTTTTTTCCATAGTTAAATTCTTAAACAGGCAGACACAATGGTAGAGGGCCACATGGACGGTTTCCGCCAGGTCGAGTAATCATTGGTGCTTTGCCACCGGTGAGTTTAATAACTTTAACTCTGAGACTCTTCTCAGTTAACAGAGGCTTAATCTTTGGTGTGATCCAGTGGATCTCAAAGCCTTTTCTTTTCAGAATAGTTATCAACTACTTCGAAAAGGATACTATTACCAACACTACCCCTACCATATGTTACCAAGGCAGTATCTACTGAGACCTCGTTATGCTTACGCATATCCACCACAGTACCAGAATGCCGTCTACACTTATCATCATCGCTTGCCTTACAAAGGTAAGCTATTGGAAGAAACCGTGCTCTCACACTTCTGCAGTTTCGGGTTATATCTCGAAAAAAAAGAGAATGGCAACGGAAAGTTTTTTTCAGAGCCTGAAGCGGCTGTAAGACCTTGTCTCTGACTGAATATTTTTCTAAGCTGATTCAATGCTTTGGAAAACAAAATTCCTTCTTTTGAAAGCAGAAACATATGACGAGAATGTCTATCAGTAAGAAAAAAAGCAAGCCTAAACTATTTCTAAATTTTAGATCCCTTCAACATTTACCGCAGCGATCCCACTTTTAACCCCTATGCTGCTGCTTATGGAGGAGGATGTGGAGGAGGATCATCCTGTGGTGGTAGTGATACTGATTTTCCAGCTTTTTCTTTTTCAACCGTCATTTAGTAATTTTTTACTCAGGCTGTGGCGGCGGAGGTGGCGCTGGCGCTGGTGGATGTGGTGGTGCTGGATGCGATGGCGGCGGAGGTGGCTATGGTAGCAACGGTATACATTTCTGACTTTACATTTCAAAAATAGAAAAATGATAGTTAACGAGAATTTGTAAAAAAAACATTCAGGCTGCGGTGGTGAGGGTGGTGAAGGACATGAAGAGGAAGATGGTTCTTATGAAGAGGAAAGCGGAGGAGGAAGATCGGGTTTGTGTTTTCAATAGCTTAAATACTAGCAAAATGTGACTGTAAAATTACACTTCCTAACACGTATAATGTTCCGTAAATTGTTCACTTACAAAAGTATTTTGGAAAATTTGAGACTTTGGGCACCATTCCCAGGGCACGGCACGAAGTGGCTTTCCGAAAATGCAAAAAACGAAGTCCTCCTTGACTTACCCCAAATTTTACGAAGTCTCCTTTGACTTTAAACAATGAACGTAAAAAACCTTTAGAAGCGAAACGTTGACTTAAAAAGACGTCGCAAATGTTGTGTCCTTTTGGCCACAGAAACGACACCCCCCTTTGCTTTTTGCCCCAAAAACGATATCCAGCTTGCCTATAAGCCACCTGTGCCCAGCCCTGATCACTCCATAGCGAGCAAGCTAAATTCTACAAGATGTCAAGAATATTCTCACCAAGTTTATTCGAGTAAAGTTTTTAAAGTGAAAATCTACATGAAATTCATAAATTCTAATAACTTTGTTTCCCCTTTTTGTTCAAAGAAACCCTAGAATCTCCAACTTGCTCATGCTTTCCACATTAGATATTTATATGTATAGCTCCTGTATTCTTCTAATAGCTGCAATCTGAGAAATAAAAAGTGCAAAGCCGTGCTCCTACCGAAGCAATGATGGGCTGCCATTCTTCAATGCATCTTTGGAAGTTTTATGAATTTACAGACTTCTACGAATCTAAAACAGTCAATTTGGCATGAAAAACCGGAAAAAACGCTTTTGTATTATGACCTTCTTTTTGTCAAATTTCTAGTCATGAAAATTACAATAAGCGTACAAATGCGATCCAGAGCAAATGCGAAAGAAAGTTGGTTGGCAAGTTTTTTGGATTTTTGAAGAATAAAAACATTTCAATCTGGCCTATAGCTTTGATGGACCAAACTTGTGTTTAAAAGCTTGCTTGGCTTTATCGAGTAACATTTTAGAGTCCTCTAAAATTGCAGAAAATATGAGTTACTAGAAATCGGACGAAAATTGCTGGACGAACCTTTTTTTCCCGATCCGAATTCGATGTCATGATATAAATTTCCCCACACAAAAATTTTGCAAATTGTATGGTAACTTGGAGCTAAAATTCCCGTTTCGATAAGACGTTTTATTGTAACTGAAATGACTGAGTTTGTTCATAGTTCCGAACAATAAGCGCCATTCGACCGTCCCTTCATACAATGATTTCAGTTACGAAAAATCGCTGCTAACTGTTAGATTTGCTGAAATGTTTTTGTGGTTTAGAGAAATAATGACACATCGATGAACTAAAAAAAGTTAGTTTCAAACAAGTAGAGATGTATGTATCCCAAAACTTTGTATGTAATGTCGCTTTTTGGAAAGTTTTGATGTTTTCTTGAAGAATATCAACTTTTGAAAATTGCAAGAAAATGGAACATCTAAATATGTATCACTTAAAAGCTCTTGAAGAGCCCTTTGAAATTATACAGAATTTGTTGGTCAACTCTAATTTTTCATATGACTTCTTTGATTTTGATCTTTGCTTTAGCATTTCATAGCACTGCTCCTGCGCCCCATTTCTTCTTTGGTCCTTTCTTTGTAATGAAGCTCGCGCAACCTTGACTTTTCAGGCATCAAAAAACAACTGTTAGCGCTTCCGACTAATGTTTTACAAATCCTAGACTCTAACTTCTCTAGAAGCGAACTGATTTTGAATTTGAAGATCCAAGGTTTTGACTAATTTGGGTAATTGCATTGACTACAACTCAATCCGATAATAACATATCTAACAATCGCGTTTATGCTAATACAGCCTTTATTTATATTCTTCTTTTCGTAAACCAAGCTAAATTATGATGCTACACTTCGTAATCGTAAACGTCTAGCAAATCGCCTTGTTCTTGGAAATATTCTTCGGATCTCAATCCCCTTAATAGTTAGGAAAATACTTGACTTATTGCTATAGCTTTTTTGAGATTCTATATCATTAAGGGCGGTGTCAGTATCATCGTTTGCCTTTTCAGGTGAAACTGGAATTAATAGAAAGGATCCACTAGAAGATCTGGATTTGGAAGATTTGGAGAAACTTGGAGGTATGTTGATTTGAGAGTCAAAAGTCAAAATAAACGTGCAATTTTACACAAAACCTATTACCATAAAAAGTTTTGCTTTACACTGAAGCAGAATTCGAAACAAAATGAGTAAGAGTAATGGCGGCCCCTGCATTATATACAATTTTGCAATATTTTTGCGAAGAGGAATTTCCCGAGTTCTTTTCACATCCTCTTTCTGCTACATTAGTTTATAATTTACTGCTTTCGATAGCTATTGAAACTATGGTGGCCGCTTTGATTCCTGTTAGAGTTTATAATTCGCGCGACTTTTTTGTCTCATCAGACTAATTCGTCGTCAGATTAGTCTCTAGTTTATAACCGCTCAGCGAATTTCTGTGAAGAAATAGCTTCTAGCGCTCTTATTATCTCAACAGAATAACCTGCGAAATTTGATGCAAAAAGAATGAAAGGTGGACAAGTTGTGACGTCATCACCAGCCTCGAGGGCATCAAGAATGGGTTGGAATCGAAATATCTTCGTAAACATATACAGTTTTTGCAGGGCACGATTGCCACCTTTTCGAACAATTGAGGCTATAAGCCAATAAAAACTGGAAGGCTTCAAGAAAAATTCAGTGAAGTAACGCCACGTCACTCTCAAAATAAATTTTTCTAATGGCAACAACCCTGAAAAATCTCTAGACTCCGCTGATTTAAATCGCTAGACGCTCAGTTGCTGAAAAAGTAAAAGTCACTTTTCGTTTTGCACCATTAGTTTCTGATTCCTAGAATCTGCAACTTCTTTGTTTTGAAGAAAAAAACGTATCAGAACAGCTTCTGAGCATTCCACCAGCTGTTCCCCAGTTCATGACAGAATATTCCGCATTTATTTTCCAATCAAAAGTCATCAGTCTTCAAAATGACAGTTGCTGTTATCTTTCCGATCTGCTTCGTTTTTAGGCGATTCCGTCGAGACGAGAGGAAAAGGCAGGCCTATAAGAAAACTGAAACAAGTTCTTTTACAATGATGCTGGTGACAAAACCTGACCAATCAGGGTAATTGTGTACATAAATGTCAATAAATGTAAATTCGCTTTCTTAATTCTGATTTTTGATTTTTTGAGCTTGGTGAACCTTAGTCCAGAGAAAAGGTAGTTCTTTAGCTCTGTTGTACGTTATCAAAGGCCGATGCCATTAGTGTGAAAGCGCTTTGCGCTGCTCGCTGGATTAGCACCATGAATAATGCGCCAGGAAACAGCCAGGATATCAGTGTTGAGTGCATATCTCCGGACCGGATTAGCTGTGGGAAGAGATCATCCCTAGCCTGTTGTCCTTATTCATCATGTCTTCTAGCTGCACTTTCGTTGTGCTCAGGAATCTGTGGTAGTTAATCTCAGATCTACATTTGATGTCAAACACCATTTTGTCTTCTTCGCTTGAGATCCTCTATTAGATCGGCTGAAAATTCATAACAACTTACATAGCCTTATTTAGCTGGGAGTTTTATGAGGAAGCAATTTCGAAAGCTTTTCATACACATATCACATATCAGTAATCCAAACTTTGCAGCAGTAATAAAAGCCAGTCATGTCCGTATATGGCGGATAGAATTCTAAAAAATTACTGATTTGATTTTCAGACTTTAGCCATGCTGTAATGAGTGTATCCGATAAATTTTGAACGTACATAGTACAAGCTTTGCCTACCTGCATAGCTAGAGGTCGTGAGTTGTTTGGAAATTTAGAGTTTATAGTGCTAGAACTGTTTACACCACTTCAATTTGACCGTCCATGGCCATGGTAGCCTCAAAAATATCAAAATCACATGTGTGCCTACAACTTTCACGCATTGATACATTTAACTTCAGTTATTTAAGCTGACTTAAAAAAATTCGAAGGGAATGTCTGATCACAATTTATGCGAAATTTTACCAGTGGCAAGAATGATATCTACTCCTTCAAAAATGTTAACCATCTGATAAACCTTGGTTTACTCCCCTCATACGATTCATTTATATGTAGAAGTCGTTTGTATTCAACAATGTCTTGAAATTGTTTCTAACTAATCCAACGGTTCATTCCACCCAAATTTTCGAGTGTAGGTATATCGAAAAAGCTTTGATATGTCTATCACCAATTATTTTTGAAAAGGATATGTTATATCTGGGGACTCTCTTGGCCTGACTGCAGTTCAAGCTCTCCTTGTAACTATATAACTGGAGGCTTATTTTATCCCCTACAATAAAGAGAATTTCAGGCGGCTTTGACTAGCAGCTTTATATAGTTACACCATTTTCAAGAAACGCAGAGAATATACTGGTAGCGGCTACTATAAAGTCAAAGAAACAGGAGAAGACTCGAATAGGCACCACAAAAAATAAGGTCCTACTCTGCGACAAGCCGCAGAGGTAAAGCAAGCATGCAGCTACATGAAGCTCTTAGCTGAATATCGCTTTGATAGGAGCTCCTCTTTCATTTTTTTATCTGCTACTAAAAAGCCTCTCCAAATCTATTGCAACTGAATACAAGGGGGAAAAAGTCCTCATCAGTACAAAGATCGCTGGTTCCTGTTGTCGTGAAACCATGAAAACATGTGCAATGTGCTGCACCTTATTTTATTCCCACATCCACAAGAAGAGTGGGAGAGTAAGCTCTATACGGATTTTTGTACGAAGGCTTTCACTTGTAATTGCATGAAATGGTTAGTTACGTTGCATAAAAAATTGGTGGTATCTAAAAACTCCATTAATTTTTGCCTTAGACATAATAGTCACCTGCAAAAAGGTCTAGTAAACGTAATAACAGCATTCGTTCAGTCTTGACCGCTTGAGTGTATGATGGCAGTAGTCTCTAAGATAGGAATTCTATATACATATAAAGAATCGTTATATCTATTAATAAAAGTAATTGCGGGAAACCGCGCGGCTCCGGTAGCGAATGCTTTTGCAAATCTAACAACTTTAAATTACTGGTTTACTAATCTAGGCAACGGACTGATGGCCACTTAGTATAATATTAAAAACTAATTTACTCTTTTCGAAGACCACAAACTTCCTGTAGGTGACATTGCAATCGTAAATTAGGTGCAAATTCTTTTTTTTGAATTGTTTCAAAAATTTAAACTAAAAAAGTTGTAGAGAAGATGAAGCACATAGATTGAAAAGAACAATGGAAAAAGGAAACGTTGAGTTCAAAACACAAACTTGCAGGCAGTATGTGCGTTTGCGGCAACTACTATGCCGCTGGCAGACCCTGTCTCCTCTAAGCATGAAAAAAAAGTTGGTTTTCGGAAAGGTTCTGAAATTTTTCACAAGCAATAAGGATAACATCAGAAATAATGCGGCAGCCCAGTTTTTTAGGAAACTTCTTTCAAGTGGAAATCGTTTTAATGACTGGACATCATAGTGGCTGGCTCAGGCTTGAACATCAATATTTTGCTCTCTACATAAAAAAAATAAGCAATTGTTCTTCCATGATTGTTTGCCGTGAGTTTTTCTCGTTGCTCGCAATGCACAAGGCGGCCTGAATAAATCATGAAGTTCCCACATTGCATAGGAAAACAATCTGGTTCCTTGAACTTCAGTAAAAAATATGTTGGCACCCTCTCCTTCACTGTACATGCAAAGAAGTGGAGAAATCCTCAGTTTCCAGCTAGTGCATGGAATCCGATTATAGTTGTTTTTCGATATATAGGCGTTGCTCGTATCTCCAAATCTAAAATATCAACACTGACGCAAAATGTACTTTAAGCATGCAACCTTTAACAAGAGCCAAGGAGAAATTTTGTTTATAGCGCTCCAGAGAAAGTTTTTAGAGGCTAATTTTTTGTGAGTCAACAGTGCTAAATCTCTTTGCGAGCTGAGTCCCAATCCTACCTGAAATATTATTCGAGCTCCTCGCACAAATAATAACTATGTAGAAATGGCCCAGCATCTCTGCCCACCTGCTTATCTCTGGCCATTTGGTGATTGACTCCATGAAGAATATTTCGTGAATTTTTCAGCTTTTATCATCGTATGAGCTCAATCCCTGGTACTTAGCCCTCACTTCTGATGTAAGTCCAGACTGCTAGTGACAAATTTTCCTCACAACGTTTGCTATATCAAAGAACTAGCAAGTCAAGATGGAGCGGTAGCGAAACTTCCTGGCATGGTAGCTGCTGCATTGAAAAATTTATGTTCAAAAACGATTTCGAGCTCCTCTATGGAAGTTTCAAATGCTCCTATTCCAGGAGAAGACATGCAGCATTTATATGGCAATTTGGCGTAATCAGTTTCGCTGTATAATATTTGAAACCATCCTTTCTCAAATTAGTCTTTTATATGTATGTTGCAAATAAAGTCCTCGATATATCAAAGTGAACGTTAACAGTTGGAGACGGCCATTTTGCACTACAGTATCCAGCAGCCACTCCACGAGCTTTGGCGTGACATATCGCTCTTGTGGCAAATTGTCCCTTCCTCTCATGTGGATTCTCATGTTACGTTTTTGTCAATGTCTACCTACACCCGTTGATAGCTTACTGTGGTATTCGCAATAAATCACAAATGTTTCTCTTCTGTAGTCACTGAAATAAATCATACGCTTTTCTATTATTGCAAGGGCAAACTGCATTCTTTTCCAGCCCTTCTGCTTTTTTCAGTCATATGAAGTCGATTTGACAAAGAACCAAAGATTTCTCAAAATTTCCACTACTTCCAGTTTCCTGACAGACTACTAAACGCTTACCAGCATATACGCAAAAGTACTCGTTATTCTTCTAGTCACTTCCAATAAAGCATTTTCGTGACAGGACGCATCCAATGAAATCGTTTCAGCTGGCGTTTTTGTCAAATGTGTAATTGTGTAACAGCTTTATGTTGGAGCATATTTCAACATGGTACATAACAACATCGCATAAAATAAGACAATGTACAACAGCTGCAGGAGCTACAGCGAAAGCTCTGGAAATCCTATTACATAGAATAAAATGTGACTCGTAAGAAATGTTCAGATACAAGCGACATATGCGCTCGTAATGTTTTTTTTTTCTGGATGTATGGTACATGGAGCGTC